GTTCTCAACCGTCAAGCCGCCGAACCCAGCGACCAATCCTTTTCATTATCTGGACTCACAGGTCCTGCCAAGCTGGTCCTACCTCGATGATAGCATCTGGAAGGCTGACCGCACTGACGCTGCTTCGCTGCAACGTGGCAATCGGGCAGAGCATGGAGTCATCCACGTCTACTACTGTTCCCCGGTTTCTCATCATCATACACCGATCCCGCTCAAAGACCATGGCATTCCCAACTTCTATCTTTCTCAGGAAGCAGACCATTCCCTTGAATCGACATCCATACTTTACTTGCCACCATTGAATCTTTATCAGCTGCGACGAATTGACTCGACCCCAATGTCCAATGTAGCTGAACGGCTGCCGGGGGCTGATTTCTCGACAATGCAGACTATCGACCCTGCGCTGGTTTTTCCAGATACTTTTACAACTACTCCTGAGCCCTTGAGCTTTACAGCAAATCTTGGCGCGGCTGCTGAAGTCTGTCCTATCCTCGCTGATACGGGTATCTCCCCTTGGTTTCTTGATCAACCACCAGGGCACTCCCAGATAGACAAGAGCGCGTGCTTAAACGATCTTTCACTGCCTGACTGTCACGTTTATGACAAGAAGCCTGATCATAAGCCGGAAGTTAAGGACCAGGAATTTGATATGCATAAGCGAAAATTCAAATGCAGCATCATTGGGTGCAGAATGGGCTTCAAGCGTCGGGACCACCTCGAGCGCCATACAAGGAGTCACTCGAAGGAAAAACCCTATGTCTGCTGGGTGCCTGGATGTCACCGTGCCTTTTCACGCCGCGACAACCTCAAGGTCCATTGTACGAAGACACATGCGAGATCCGGTGGTCGCAACCGTTATGTCGCTACCCTCGACGAGACGAGCCCCGACTACGATCCAGATTTCCGTGGTCAGCTGTCGTTTGACGGGCGCCCGCTCAGATTTTCAGCACCTACTAGCCCCTTATCTGAAGCTAAGCCTCAGCAACCATGACTTTGTGCAAGATTGAAAATCAATTCTGATCATTTCAGATAACAAAAAAACGAAACCAAGCAGCCTGAGTAGATCCCCTTCATCCCGGGTGGTCTCCTTCCGCTGTAGCTAGGGCCAAGTCTACGTTACAACACCACATCGCTGTGTCGACAGCTTCAAGAGTGAAGCGATGGCTGTTAGATGAAAGAGATCTCTCCGTGCAGTGTATATAAGCGCCGGTGTTGTGGGACGGTAGATGGGTATATCTCACCGAGGATATCTCAACGTTGATGAAAACCCGTTGAAGCGGCCATACGGCCGACAGTGAAGTTTCGTTCACCCTGGTGAAAGATCAACGCTTCGCGAAAATTTAGTACATTAGCCGATTCTCTTTCCTTGAACGATTACATCTGACTTACTGCTCCTCTGTCTGGCACATTGAAAGAATAATTGGCCTCTGCCATTATATTAAACCTCCAGCAACCCTTCACTGCCAGTTCAAACGCTGCTGCCACTTCCCCCACGACGACTATACCAGGACAGTTTTGAAACAGATGGACAAATTCGGTCAAGATGGTTCGTATAACTTTATTTCACCGCGTGCCTGTGCTCACAACAGACTAGATATCGACTTCGATCTCGACCTTCACGCAATCTGGCGAGAATCCTCTTGTATACCGGCGCCGCCTCCTTATCTTTGCGCAGATCACGAAGATACTGCGCTAGACTTTCCGAATGGATTAAAGTCTGTAGCACACGAGGGACAAGGATCCCCCTTGGTCGAATGCTTCTTCCACCCCAACAATGATAACCAGTCGGGCTTCAAGTGGACCGGTCCAAATCCTCTGTCGTTCGCCACTCAAGCTGATGACCTTTTCCTTTATATGTCAGCTTTCTTTCTTTTCGAAGAGGTCTACTGGATGGAGCTGAGGCTTGCAAGATTTCATCACTTAACCGGCGAGACAGTGGGTGAGCATCTGTTCTTCCTGCCCCGTGTTGAAACGGCCATGCGGAATCTACGCCGGGTGCGTAGGCAGATCCTGGACATCATATCACTAGTCACTGTAGGAGCGATACGTCCTTCCTTCCGATTGTCTTTGTGGCCGCGCACAGAACCTCTACCGTATTCTGGTCACTCTACTCTGTCCCCGCTAGCGACACTACCCACGACGCCATCCCTGGATCCATCGTTCTTTGTACATAATCTCCTGGAAAACTACAAATGAATGTGACGCACGCATGTGACTGTACTTGTGTTTCCATTGTTTTCTGAACGACGTCCGCAAGGTCGTCAATTGTCAGGTAATGGCAATGTGCTTTGTACGACATTCTCTAAATAAAACAAAGCCTCGTCAAAGGATTGACACTACGTTTGAGTGCGGGCTTCACTTGTTCTCTGTTTGGTTCATTACATGGCAGTAAAGAAATACATGGCACACTCCCCACTGGCAACCCCTCACTCGGTTCTTTTGGCATCCACCAACATGCCCAGACTACTTTTCGAGCATTGATTCCAGCCATTGAGCACGACAGTCATTCGTTCCCAAGACGATTCCAAAGCCTGCTCAAAGGAAAGCAGTCGTAATCGCTGCTCATCATGAGGAAGCTGAGGTCCATTCCTCTCTTTGCTCGGGTTATTGCTAGCCTCCTTCGAGAATTGACTTTTCTGGTCGACATCCTCGCCACTGAGGTGCCTAGGCACACATGATGCACATAGACGTCGATAGAGCCCCACGGACCGAGCCGCTTGAAATGCTAGTTTCGGATCGTCGCGATCGAGATTTGCTAGTGTCGCCAAGATGGGTTGAAAGTGCTCGATCGTCAGGGTTTCTTTCTGGTTGGTTTCCAGCTACGGGAGGGAGAATGCCAGTAGTCAGCCAAAAGATCTGATACTGTATGGGATGCACCTAACTTACCTGTCGTGGCTTGGGATCAGAAGCGTCCTTTGGGTAGCCTTTATCAACCTGAATTGGCAGTCCACTCGGCCGATGATCTCCTTCACTATTTTGGTCCAGTATGTTCCTTGGAGCATCCATTTCGTGATAGTCAAAGAAATGATTTCAAAGAAATTAGTCTGCACAGGATGATAGCCTCTCTTATAGTCCACCTGGAGACACGTAGTCACCTTGTTAGTGTTACGACAGAGGTACGGGTCTCAACGCAGTCGTTTATTTGATTCTGATGGCTATTTGGTATTTACGGTCGTTGAGCACCCCTATTCCCATGCTGATGAATATGTCAGTAGCCAAACAAGGTATTCAAGCAGCGTTGAATCATATCTCGCAGCTTCAACGGCTACATAAATTCAAGCGCTATATTTCTTAATTTGAAAGCATTTGGCTGGCCAGGACCGGTGAGCAACAACTGATACAGCTATGTCAGCGGCTGGTGAAGGACTAGGAATTCCGTATCAAGCCGAGCACTCGTGTCTGCTTGATCCTAGTTATCGGCGGCAAAATCCCGGATTGAACTAGCCTCACAGGATGTGTCTGGTCAACGTTGATTCAACGACCATCTCGCCTCACAAACAGGCGTCTTTATATGTTCATGTATTTTTTCAACAGTCCAGGATCACGTTGAAATCAAACCGTGCGCAGCAAATGGCAAGACTTCGTTTTCGATAGTATTTGTTAAGGGAGGGTCAACTCAGTAACTCGGGTGGGCAAGCAGCGATGATTCAGGTATTCTAGGTTTCTGTGCGAGGTTTGCTGACTTTTCTACCTTTTGTTTCGTCCGCGTTATTTCAAGGGGCCACTCCTTCCTCTATACACACTAGGTCTCACTTACTAGTGATCGATTTTCGTACTCAGACATCGCTCTTGACAGTGGCGTGAATGCCTCCTACTTTCGCCTCATTTTCAGCACAGAAATCTCGATACATGCTTAGTGTGGGCGACAGTTCACAAATAGTACAACAAGCTACGACAACATCCTCGCAAACAGAAGCATGTAAGACGGACATGATGTTCCCAAGCGACACACTACTCTTCTACGGTGACAGAAGCGAACAAAAAGACCTGATCGATCTCATACCCACCGAACAGCCTGGCATGGAGTTCCACCAGCATGAAAAGTGCGACTTTATCTCTCGTGGCTCGGCAGTCCCATTGCACATCAGCCAAAGCGGAAACCATGGTCATCTTTGTCAACAAATGAGTTGCTCAATTGATCCAGGTTCCAGCCATTGCGGATGGCGGCCTGTGGTCTGTTGGTTTCGATACCAGCCTATCTGGGAGTCATCGAACTCACCCTTGGAGGCTTTCCCTGGCCATTTTGACCTTGTGCCTAATTTGTTCGGAACCTGCCCCTTCCCAGCCCCACAGAATACCGATGATCCGTGGATAGAGTGGCTTCGAGGGCAGCACATTGGACAAGACACGCAGGTTGCAGAGGCCTGTCAAGTCTTCCGACAATCCCCCAATCCCATCCGCACGCAAGATCCCTCCGATTTCGGTGTCGGAGATTCACAAGCCAGCACCCCACGGCGACAGTTCAATTGCAGGCTTTCGGGATGCAAGCGCCAATTCAAACGCCAAAAGACCTTGAACCGCCACCTGGCAAGCCATTCAGGAGCGAGACCTCATGTCTGCTGGGTCCCTGGGTGCCAACGCAGTTTCTCGCGGCGCGACAACCTCAATGACCACTATAAAACACACGGCAAACGTGGGGGCCGCAATCGGTATGTGGCTACCCTAGACAAGACAAGCACCGTCTATAACCCTGAGTTCTGTGGGCAGCTAACGCCTGAAGGCTGGCCACTTGACCATGCTCGCCATGACTGATCTGGTGCTTGAGCTGTACAGTGGCACCAGATTTCCACTGTTCTTCCACTTTCTGTTACCAAAGATGAGAAGCAATGGTATAGGCTTCACTGCAGTTGCATATTGTCTCTTTCCTCTTGGCCTACTCGCTTTTGTGCTGTGAAACTATGTTTCACTCAACCACAGGCCTATTACCTTTCATTGGATTTTCTAGAAATCGACTCGATATGTGTAACATTCAGATTAGCAAAACGCAATACGAGAAGTCCTTACTGAAATGGAAGTTGTATGATATTCGCACCCTTGGCGGAGCTCTCTATTCCTGACTGGAGTTGCTCGTTGTGCCAGAGAACAGCCTGGTGGTAGTGGGCGGGCTTTTGTGACGCGAGGCCTCGGTACTGCTCGAGCGTTTTGATATGAGACTCGGTGCGCTCGCGCATTAAGGGCTGCTTCAGATGGTTCTTCACACGTTTCTTCGATGACTGACCGGGGGTGAGGTTAGCGTTCCTACGCGACGACATGCTGCTCAGTCGTTATTCGTTCAACGACGTAGGGCCCCTATTGCCGATATTGTGGCTTATCGATATGTCCCGAGTTCGGCAAGGCTGGGCGCGACAGGGTCTGTGAATCTTTCGTGTTCGTGATGGCGGGTGTCACGTGGCGCAAGCCGAGGGCCTCGAAAGGAATAGCAACAGTAGAGCAGAGCCTCCGGAAGAGTTTCCGGCTGGACGGAGCCCACGAATCGGTTCTAACGTAGCGTCAGCATGGTGTATGGTATGGTCAAAATGAGGAGGCATGTAAAATGTGAGTTGACTAATGACAGAGGGTCGATCAATGGGCGACTTGGCCGGCGATCCCTACATTTGGTTGATGTCACCATCACACAGTGAAGCAATTCCTTTTTTTCTTTTTTTTTTTCTATTCTTTCTTTCTGATCCCTCGTCTTTTACATCGAATTGTAAGCACCTACCGCGACAGGGTGTCCACGCGTCGATCCCGATCCATGTTCAGATGGACCTACGGCTCAGCAACATTCTCCCCGTCACCGCCCGAGCCATTCACTTCAGCAGCATTTCACCCCATATCAACGCGAATTTATTCACTTTCATGCCTGCTTGCTGTTATCTGCTCAGTTAATCGGAGGTAATTATTCAGAAAAGGATTCAGACTAAACCCCAGCCTGTTTTGGAAGCTTTAGAGTCTAGGCAGCTCCGGTCGCATCTCGTGTTGTCAATTCTAGCTTCACGCTGTGCTAGGCCAGAGCGATGTGACGAATTATCCAGGACAAATACATGCGCGGTCATAGAGATAAACGCAGTAGGCTTACGACTTGTCCAAATGGATGGATTATGCCGGGTAACTTATTAACACGTTTGGCTAACCTAGAAGCCGCCTTCGATGATTTTCTGCCGAACCCACTTTTTGTGATTGGCACTCTGCGCCCCAATCGCCGACTCATCGCCCTGCCAGGATCGTCTATTATCGACCAATGTTTCTCCTGAGAGACGAGTGGCCTGTTCAGGAACAGTATGTGCAACAGGCAAGGGGGCCGGCGTCCAACTGGGCTCCAACACTGTGCCAGTGTTGGAAGATTCTGCTCGCTCGGAGGCTGTAATTGTTGTGACATGAGGCTGGTGCAGATCAGGAACCAAGCCGCACCGTCGGAATTAAGTCCGAGGTATCAATATGGACAACCCAAGTTGATTTCCAATCAACTTGGCTCATTGCTGTATATATAGGCTCATGTATCCCTCTGGAAGAATAAGTCAATCCATACCTCTGAACAACAACAGGTTATGAGCCCGAGAGCATAATCTCGGGTGCCGTCTCTACTCATCTGAGAATCATCTCATCAATCTTGATTATATATCTACCCCGCTTTCGCAATCAATACTATGTCTGCTCTGGTCCATGACTCTCCTGACCGAGCCGTCACGGCCATCGAGCCTCTGACGGGAAGCGATAACTTCGCGACCTGGAAACGTCTCATGACCTCCTACCTGAAAGCCAGGCAGGTCTGGGATGTCGTGTCGGGCGACCTTCAGCGTCCCGACTGTCTATTCAAGTACGCCAAACCTATTACGGCGGACATCCACCCCTTGGTGGAGCCCCACCTCAATGGGGCGGTGAGGCAGCGAGCCATTGAAGCGCGCCTCGAAGTGGAGGTCCAGGCATTCGAGCGCCACCGTGAATGGTCGCGCCGTGAAGCCGAGGCCTACCACACCATCTTCCGGTACCTGTCCCCCCACATCAGCATTCATGTCGCGGGACTAGAGACGTCCCGTGACCTTTGGAATGAACTTGAAGAACGGTACCGGCGAATGGAACTCGCCACCTTCTGCGAACTGTTTGCTCAACTTCGCGAGACAACCGGCGAACGATGCGCCAGTGCACGTGATTTTGTTGATCGCGTACGGCTGCTCGTACATCGATTGAATGCCATCGCTCCAGGATCAATCGGTGACAAGACTCATATTGCGATACTGCTCACGCAGATCGGACCGGAATACATCCTGGTTGTGGATGCGATCCAGAATGACAAGGATCCGGTCAACCCGACCACGATCGGAAATCGGCTGTCCAACGCCGAGCAGACGGTCCGACGAAAAGAGTCTCCCGTGCCCTCGCAGGGAGTCCCAGGACCGTCAATCAATGCAGTGCAGAGAAACCCCAAGAAGTGTACCTACTGCAAGAAGCGCGGCCATGCGGTCGCGGAGTGCTGGAAGAAACAGCGCGAAATTCACCCGCCTAGGGACCATGCCCTGAAGGCTGAACGGAGTGCTTCCGGCTCACCAAGAAACAACATGCAAAATATACCGTCAAGCCAGAGAGAAGATCGGCAGGGCCCGCCGACTTCCAAGAGACCGAGGATCAATATCGTGAGGGCGAGGGTGACGACCCTCTATACCCACGCACCGCAACCCCGGTGGATCCTGGACTCGGCCGCCACCAGCCACATCTGCTGGGACCGGAGCTGCTTCAGCAGTCTGCGGCCCCACCGCGAGATGCTGGACACGGCGGGCGATCCAGTGGAAGCCGAAGGGATTGGTACGGTGAAGCTCACGCTCCGGGGGAAGTTCAACCAACCCCTGGTGTTAAAGAATGTATACTTCGCGCCACGCGTCGGGATGAACCTGATCAGCGTGCCGAAGCTGCTGCGAGACCGCTACTCGGTGGTGGCGCACCCGCAGAACGTCTTTGTGCAACGCCGAGGACGGACCGTGGGGACTGCCTACCATGCGGAGGAGGATCTGTTGATCCTGCGGTGCCATGTGAGCAAAAGATCCCGAGAGCGAGTCCAACTGGCGAGGGCGCCGACGACCTATGGCCATGCAGATTCCCTGGAACCGCAGGCGGTGGCCATGGAAGTCGACGACCCTCAGGAGTCAAGTGACGCAGAATGCGCAGCGTCAACCTCTGAACTCGGTGGTGAAGCTGTGATACTCGAAGAAGATGCATGCAAAGGAGTGGACCAGGACTCCGAAGCGTTGTGGCACGCTCGGATGGGACATCTGAACCGGGGAGACTTGAGGGTGGTCCTCCGGCAGACCGGCACTCCGTACCGACCGCTAACGCAGGCGCAGCTGCTGGCAACGCCGCAGTGCCCAGCGTGTATGTCGGGTAAGCAGCATCAGAAGAGGAACTTCCGTGCAAGACGGCCACGTCTGCATTCAACGAGAATCTTTGAAATGATCCATTCGGACATCATGGAGATGCCGATCGCCAAAGATGGCTCCAGGTACGTGATCACCTTTACTGACGATTATTCTCGTGGCTCGTGGGCATATGCCATGAGATGGAAATATGAAGCGCTCCAGAAGTTCCGACTATTTGAGGCCTGGGTGCACCGACAGTTCGGCGCCCAGATCAAGAGGTTCCTCACCGACAATGGGAGAGAATACCTGCCGATCGGAACACACCTCGAGACCCAGGGAGTTGAGTTTGACACCTCGCCGCCATACTGCAAAGGGCAGAATGGACTGGCCGAACGCACGAATCGCACTATCCGGGAGCGGATCAACACGCTCCTGTCTGATGCGAACCTTCCTCCTTCCTGGTGGACCGAGCTTGTGGACACGGTGGTCTATTTGAAGCTGCGCGCGCCAGCATCAATTTTGCAGAAGAAGACCCCGTACGAAATCATCTACGAGAAGCCGCCCTCGCTGTTGCATCTGCGACGGATTGGCTCCCGCGCATGGGTGTTGATTCCCAAAGAGCATCGAGCAAAGCTCGGACCTAGGTCGTCCGAGTGCCGATTGCTAGGTTACTGTGAGCCGAACCAGTACAAACTGTATGAGATCCATTCCGGAAAGACTGTCTTTTCCCGTGATGTCGAGTTCGATGAGAGGACCCCTGTGGCGCCACTCATCGAGGGGGAATCAGGCAACGACCTCCTGGACAACGCTCCTCCATCATCGGTCTTTCCGTCAGTACCTTCCTTGGCTAATGGGCTGCCGACACCACCGGTATCGCCTTTGCCCTTTTCATCCGAGCAAGAGAAAACGCCGTCTCAGCATGGGGAGGAAATACCTCCACCGGTCAATCCAATTGAACAGGAAGCAGAGTCCACACAGGACCTCGGCTATTCCGTCTATGGCCGCAGAAGACGACCTTCACGGCGTCTTCTAGAGTCATTAGGCAAGGTATACTCGATAGGCACATTGAATCCCGCACCGGCCAGGCAAGTCGACCCGGTGGCCTTTCGGGAAGCTGTGTCGGGTTCAGATCAGCTGGAATGGTGGGCTGCCATCCAGAAAGAATATGCGTCGCTTCTCAAACACGGAACATGGGAAAAGGTTCGACGAGAGGACGTTCCCGCCGGAGACCATGTGATTGGCTGCAAATGGGTCTTCAAGACTAAAGTCAACGGAACGCGCAAAGCGCGATTGGTGATCAAAGGATATCGACAGAAACATGGCATCGACTATCACGAAACGTTTGCTGCTGTCTCACGTATGGACTCAGTCCGCTGCATCATTGCCAGCGCCGCATTACGCGGATGGAAGCTTCACCAATTCGACGCCGTCACGGCGTTCTTACACGGTGACGTGGACTCTTCCATCTACATGGAGTTGCCCGAAGGATTCGAAGAGCCAGGCTACGTATGCCGGCTTCGCCGCTCTTTGTATGGACTCAAACAGGCCCCGCGGATTTGGTACCAATGCGTCCACCGTGTGCTGGCCGCCCATGGCTTCACCATGGCAGAATCGGACAACTGCGTGTTCTACAAATCCGATTGCGTGGTCTGTGTCTATGTCGATGACTTTCTCATTACGGCAGCCAATTCGCACGAAATCAAACAAGTGCAACAAGCATTGGAGAAGGAGTTTCAATTGAACGACATTGGAACTCCGCGTTCATTCCTCGGAATCCAATTCGACTATCATGCCGACGGAGGTGTTTCTATTCACCAACACCAGTACATCCAAAAGATTCTGTCTGACTTTGGCATGGAAACCTGTCAGGCGAAGACTACCCCAATGAATCCCAAGCAAGTTTTGAATCATCATCCGGACGAAGCACCTCCAGACGAGGAAGCCAAAGCACGATTTGCAACCGCCATCGGTTCGTTGATGTATCTGATGGTTGGAACGCGACCGGACATCGCGTTTGCGCTGGGCACGTTGAGTCGCTTCACGTCTCAGCCGCAATCGCACCACCAGGTCGCCCTGCAGCGATTGCTTCGCTATGTCAAAGCCACACGAAACCATCGCATCACATACCGCAGCGGACAATTGATTGGATACACGGATGCCGACTTTGGCGGCTCTGTCGTCACTGATGGAGCCTACTCGACGTCCGGGTACGTATTCCAACTTGCGGGTGCGCCGGTCTCCTGGTCGTCCAAGAGACAGGGGGAAGTAGCCACGTCTACAACTCATGCCGAATACATCGGGCAATACAATGCCATTCTGCATTTGCAATGGCTCCGCACCTTTCTGGCCGAAACACAACTGTATCGGTCTCCAGTTACCAACATCATGGCTGACAACCAGTCCGCCATTGCCCTCTCGCGCAACCCCGAGTTCCACAAACGGACCAAACATTTCAACGTGAAATTCCATTATCAGCGAGCAGTGCTGAATGCTGGCGAGATAGGTCTTCAATATGTTCCTACTGAGGAACAAGCCGCTGACGGTCTCACCAAGCCGTTGGGACCTACGGCTTTTGTCAAGTTCTGTAGTCTTCTAGGAATCGAAGCCTTGGAGACTCAGAGGCAACAAACGTGACAGCGCAGGCGCTCTTTCCACTTTATTTTCCCACGAAGGTTTTTTAGTGGTTTTACCGAGGCTTGCCTGCACAGCGTTAATCCAGTATCGCCTTACCAACAAAGCGATCCTGAGGGGGAATGTTGTGACATGAGGCTGGTGCAGATCAGGAACCAAGCCGCACCGTCGGAATTAAGTCCGAGGTATCAATATGGACAACCCAAGTTGATTGGAAATCAACTTGGCTCATTGCTGTATATATAGGCTCATGTATCCCTCTGGAAGAATAACTCAATCCATATCTTTGAACTACAACAGTTTCGAAACCTGCAAGGTACTCACAAAACTCTCAACGCAACTCAAGTGACTCCAGAAAGCCCAACAGTATTAAGATCAAGAGCCTGGTCCCTAGGCACAAATGCAGGCAGGACTCGCACAACACTAGCAGAACACCATGAATTGCCCCTCACGCACCGACGACACGCTCGAGCACTCCGGTTGGAATCAGAACCCCCGGCTCTTCAGCCCCGACACCACCACTCGGAACGACTTCAACGGCATCGCTAATTCCAAGGTTCATCGCATGCATGTAGCCAACACTGGTGGAGTCGGGGACGACGCGATGTTCATCGATCATCGACTGTACAGTCGTGAGCGCCAAGACCCGGGGATGGAGAATGTCCCGGATGGCGAAGTGGTCGCTGCGACCTCGGGGAGTGAACCTCCCTCGAGGGCCAGCGATTCACCTCGCCGTCCTTTCCAAACCATTTTGACGTCTTCCACTGTGTACTGTGCCCGGGAAGTGACTAATTTTGTCCGCTTCATTGGACCCGGGTTTCTCATTGCAGTAGCCTACATCGATCCAGGAAACTACGCTACAGATGTTGCCGCCGGTGCGTCGTACAAATATTCCTTGCTTTTTGTCGTTCTCCTGTCCAACTTGTTGCAATCCTCCTTCAATCCCTATGCATCAAATTGGGCACCGTGACTGGCCTCAATCTGGCGGAGAACTGCCGTGAGCATTTCCCGCTCTGGCTTGTGATTATTCTGTATATTTTTGCGGAAGCGGCAATAATTGCAACGGATATTGCCGAGGTAAGGGTGGTCTCTATCGTAGTATCAGTGCAGATGTACTGATAACTTCGCTAGGTAGTTGGATCCGCGATCGCACTGAACTTGCTCCTAAAGATTCCTCTGGTAGCTGGATGTGCCATCACCTTGACCGATGTTCTCTTCTTACTCATCTTCTATCGACCAAACGGGTCGATGATGGGGTTGCGCTTGTTCGAGCTCTTCGTCGTAGCGCTCGTTTTAGGCGTTGTCGTATGCTTTTGCATTCAGCTCTCCCTTATTAGGAACCAAACTGTCGGGGAAATCTTCCGGGGCTACTTACCATCATCCTCATTAGTTCAAGGGCAAAGGTGAGTTCTTGGAATATTATCTTCTCTATTAAACTTGGAACTGGAATTAATCCCACTGACTGAAGATAATCTGTAGTCTCTACCAGAGTTGTGGGATTCTTGGCGCCACGGTCATGCCACACTCGCTCTTCCTTGGTAGTGGCATTGTGCAGTCTCGCTTGAAAGAATTCGATGTCAATGCTGGCTATGTCGTGTCCACAGTAGCCCTGGGAAGCGACAGCAGTCAAGTGAAATACCGCCCAACGATCCACGCAATTCGCGGTTGCATGAAGTATTCGATCATCGAGTTGATCCTGACGCTGTTTACGTTTGCGCTCTTTGTCAACAGTGCTATCCTTATTGTCGCCGGCGCTTCTCTCTCCGACATTGCCAACAGCAGCAGCGCTGACCTCTTCGGTATCCATACCCTCCTAACCCAGTCGATTGCACCAGCTGCTGGCTTAATTTTTGCCTTGGCCCTGCTGCTGTCAGGTATCTCTGCTGGTATTATCTGCACTATGGCTGGCCAGATGGTGAGTGAGGGGATGTTGAACTGGAGCATTCGACCCTGGCTCCGAAGGCTCATCACCCGTTCTATCAGTATCATCCCAAGTATCATAATCGCGGGAGCCGTTGGCAGGGAGGGTTTGACCCAGACTCTCAGTGCTAGCCAGGTAGTTCTGAGCATAATTTTGCCCTTTGTTTCAGCCCCGCTGATCTACTTCACTTGCTTCAATCGCTATATGACTGTTCGAACAGAGCAGTCTGGCGAGCGCGATAATGAGGTTCTGGTGGAAGAAGTCCCTATGCGAAACCCCTTTTTTCTTTCCGGGGTTTCTGTGCTCGCGTGGCTGCTCCTTGCCGTGATGAATGTGGCACTGCTGGTTATGGTCGGACTGGGCGAGTCCTGAAATGAGTTTCCGAACCCGCCTGTTTGAGGCCATAGTGACGCCCTTTGGCCTAACTGGCGCCCGTGCTACGTTTCAACGGTTTATCAACGACACCATGCGAAACCGCCTAGACGTTTTCTGTACATCAAGCTCGCGCTTCGACGGTTTTGCGTACTGGCCGGCGTCTCGCGGTCGGTGCAGAACCAGTCGGACATGACGGGCGTGCTCAGAGCGATCTATACTATAGATCAGGATGTCGTCTAGGTAGTCTCGCATGGTGTCTTTGATAAACCGTTGAATCGTAGCATGGGCGCCAGTTTGGCCAAAGTGCACCACTAGGGCCTCAAATTCGGAAAGTATTCAGGTACTCTATCCTTAGGAGTCACCATTGGCCGTGATGGCATCAAATAGACCCTAAAAAGACCGAACCATTGTTAACGGGAAACCCCCAACCTGCATCAACGACGTCAAAGCATTCCTAGGTTTTGGGAACTCCCTCATATGGTCTCACCTCCTGAAAAACCTATCACATACCCAAGTAGCACCTATGAAATGGCTCTCCCGGGTATATCTGGACCTGATTCCTCTTCATGGTCTGTTTAGGGCCAGTTTAGTAGCGGGAACCGTTTATTGTCCTCCATTCTCACAGCGTGGTCGGTCTAAGCGTCCTTTTAGGCGTATGATATTACTGTAGTGCTAACAATTCCGAGTATCCCCAATCTCAATGTCCGCCTCCGTGGCTACCCCCAAATCCGCCGTGCCCTCTTCCATGGCTGTCTCCATGTCCGCCTCCGTGGCTACCCCCAAATCCGCCGTGCCCTCTTCCATGGCTGTCTCCATGTCCGCCTCCGTGGCTACCCCCAAATCCGCCGTGCCCTCCTCCATGGCTGTCTCCATGTCCGCCTCCGTGGCTACCCCCAAATCCGCCGTGCCCTCCTCCATGGCTGTCTCCATGGCCGCCTCCGTGGCTACCCCCAAATCCGCCGTGCCCTCCTCCATGGCTGTCTCCATGGCCGCCTCCGTGGCTACCCCCAAATCCGCCGTGCCCTCCTCCATGGCTGTCTCCATGGCCGCCTCCGTGGCTACCCCCAAATCCGCCGTGCCCTCCTCCATGGCTGTCTCCATGGCCGCCTCCGTGGCTACCTCCAAACCCGCCGTGCCCTCCTCCATAGCTGTTTCCATGACCGCCTCCGTGGCTACCCCCAAATCCGCCGTGCCCTCCTCCATGGCTGTTTCCATGGCCGCCTCCGTGGCCGCGACGGCCAAGAAACTTGTTTAGGAAGCCTGACATGAGGAAGGATGCGGCTGATCCACACGAGACTGCGAGACGTTAAACCAGATTTCCGCCTCGGAAGTAAAAATCGGTATTGAAATTGAGATTGACGATGCACAATGATAAAAGACGTTGAGAATAGCAAATTCCGAAGGAAGTCCCAGGATGATGGTGTCGCTCAGTTCAAAAGCCTTTTTCAAAAAGGCCAGCCTGTGCTCTTAACGAGGGGAAGAGTGATTTACCATAAGACTGGATTTGGGGGACGTTGCTACAGTGCAGTAAGACAGTAGTAAAAAGGAATGCGTGATTTTTGCGGCTACTAGTTTAGCACAGCCACAAAATCAAATCGTCGCCACTTATGGAGTATCCGTGGTCCGTACATCACAATTGACATACTGTAATATTATTACATACATCGATTACATTTCGATTAAGAATTGCTCCCTAAAGTTGGAGAACCGAAATAGCCGCACACGACCGTAGAGGATATATGGCATAGACTGAGGCAAAGCCCACCTGGGCCGCCATTTAGACCCACAAAGCCCATTAGTCCCAGTCGGCGTTCATAAAGCGGCTGATTTATATTGATAGATTCCCGTTTTTGACGCCTGTCTCAATCGCCATAACTATTCGCGATATACATGCTCTTGGCCTGGCGGCTTGGAATTTGGGAAGCAGATCTTAAGAAATCTCTCGTCCAGAAAATGGTTGTTAATAACCCAGTATGTTGCAGGGCTATTCATGAATCAAGTCCGTTGGCGCTAAGCCCTGCTTCTGCTAATCGCAACACAGTCTCGCGCAGCGAGAAAGGCGCCGAATGCAAAAGCGCTAGAAGCTGAGCAGCAGGCGCAATTTGCTAGGGAATTCGACCAGGCTGCGTAAGATACTACTTGGATATCTCAGGAAAATGTAACTAATAATTTTGATATAGGTAGCAGTGTCGGAGAGATCAGCTAGCGGCGGTTGCGGGAAGAAGGCCGTCCGGAACGCTTCCGCCTTCTAGTCGACCGTTTCTGCAAGCTCGCCTAGACTCTCAGGGCCTTGAACCTTTATCGCTAGAGTGAGTCCTTTCTCATAGGCTCCGCTGCGGTTTCTTGCCCATTTAGCAAGACGCCACATACCCTACAGGCCATCTTCGATGACCTACTAGACTCGGCGCCAGTGTGCTCTAGATAGTGCTTTTTTGTCGAGTCGTGTCTTTTTGTTGCGCGCCTTAGTGTATTGCATCCAGTCGTAGGGGTCTTTTGTCTTTGTGTGATTGCGTCGTAGGCTACGGAATTCCTTAACGGCAGTCTTGCATTCTTCGTCGAAATCCAGGTTTGACCATACCGATGGGTTTACCCATAGGGTTGAGGAGTCAATTGCTGATTGAACGACGTTCACTAGTGTCATGCATTAACACTCGATTTGCGTCGGGTCTGCTTAGGATAGATCTTCTACATATAGCCTTTCTTCGATCTTCTGAATGAGCTTAGCATAGTCAGTGGCATGCCATTTTCTCCGTTTCTCCTGTAGGCGTATTAGCGTTTCAATATCAAGCACTGTTCTAATAGGAAAGTGGTCGGACGAATATTCAACGTCGTCCGCCCTCTCGCAGAGGATTAGCCTACTAGAGAGACTTGAACTAATAAAGGTAAGATCGATAACCGACGACTGATCGTTTCGAGTCCAGGTGGCTTTCCCCTCCTCCGCGATCAATTCAAGATCGTAAGCATCCGCAATTTCCAGCAGCTATTCAGCTTCATCATCAATTCTAGTTCCCGTTCCTCCCCATACCGGGTAGTGTGCATTCATGTCTCCCACTACCACGTGTTCTGCCATAGGTCTCTTGGCTAGTTCACCTTTAAGCTAGGCCAGGGTATTGCTGCCAGCCCTGTTATACGCGTTATATACAAAAAGGTCTATCCAGCCTTTGTCTAAGTAAGCTCTTCTAAGTTTTAGGAGCTAGTAGTCCTGTAAGATCACCTAGCACGACCAAGTAGCAGGGTCGATCTTTTTCGACACGAAAAGACATACCCCGGGTAGATCTAGGTCCCGTTCCTGACCCTACCATTAACGCTGTCCCGGGGGATTGATTTCGCAGGATAGAGCAATTAGAATGCTGCGGTTGCTGGTTAGTGGGTTGTGTATTAGTGTTCATTCTTCCATGGCTCCTGCACCGCAATGATGTCCGTTACCAGAACCTTCTTGTCTCAGAGAAAGGTGGCCATTATTGGCCACGCCTTATGTACGTTGTATTAGAGTATTTCGAACGAGTATTTCGAACGGATAGGTCTTCCCGTGGGAGGGCGCTCTGTGCAAATTGGATGTCAAACCAGTTGCGGTGATCTGGTTGTTCGTCCATGGTGTCCTCCGGTTCTCCCACACGGCGCCTTTTAGACCCTGTGCTGTCTTGTTCAGATCTTTGAGTCGTAGCCTGGGACCTTGTTGGTCGTTGGCTTGCTGGGACATTCGCAGATGGTGGTGCTTGTTCCTTGGGTCTGGTTCTCGAGCCCTTTGGGCGACCCGGGCCTCTTCTCGGTTTTGCTGGTTCAACCAGTTCTTGGGAAGCCCTCTCCGTCCTCACCGGTTCGAGGTCGAGATCAGTTATGGTCGGTGGGGAGGCTTGACGGGGTTCCACTTCTTGCGGCCTATTTGGTAGATGTATGGATGCCTCCAGGTCGTCCCTCTCAACAGAGACTTGCCTGGTTTCTGGTACCACTCTGTCCCCATGATCAGTGTTACGGAAGTGCAGCGGGACACGGTGATATGCAGGACAGTCGGCCAATGCCTGCTGTGCCTCTTTCATCGCCGCGACCTTCACCGGGCAGTCCCGGCTGACTGGGCGATGTCCGCCCCCGCAGTTGGCGCATTTATGTCGAAGGGCACTCCGAGGTCGGGTGCCCATCGGCACAGTGGCCGCTTTTGAAGACGTTGGAACAGTGAGACTGGATATGCCCCGGTTTTTGCCATTTTCTGCACAGCTTCGTCCGTCCCTCGCGGCAGAAGCGTACAGCATTGTGGATTTGCTTCCCCCAAACGACACCAGTGATGATAGCGCCGTTGGCTACGACTGGGTTCGTGAACTCGATGAGGAGCGAGCCTTCTGCTCGTATCCCTGGTCGCGTTAGCCAACCAAGGTACTGAATCCTGGCGACTTCGCCCCAGTAATTCTGTTTAAGCAGGTCGGTTGCGACGTCGGCCATTGTCTCTGGGGTAGTCTGCATCGACTTCACTGGAATATGATATGCAACAACGCCCCACGACCGTTCTTGTACAACAGAACCTGGCCCGAATGCCTTTAACTAGCCGGTGTGCTTACGGAGGAGCTCGGCCCCCGCAGCACTGTTGGCCACCATAACCACGTCTCCCGAGGGCAGTTTCCGAGCTGCCACGAAGGTAGCCCCTTCAGCTAGGGAGGCAGCGTTCCTTTGTCGGGTAATCACCACCCTCTGTTTTCTGCCCGCTCCACCCGCTCCTTCGGCGTGAGTGCCTGGATCTGCTCACGGTTAGATCCCACCTTCAGTATCAGCTCTCGGTCTTCACGGAGTTTAATTTCAGGCACCCCAGGAGACGATGTGTCGTTACCCCGGGCAATCGGGGCGGCCCCCTTGGCCAGACCGCGCTGCCGGTCACTGGCTCGGACGTTGCGCCACGCAGCTGCAGAATCTGCCGCGGAGGTAGACAAAGCTGTCGATAAGGCGCTCGTTGCTTTTTCAATGGTGTCAATTCGCTGGTTCAAACGTTCGGTGTCGGCATTGATCTTGGTCAGTGCTTCGAGCACCTTGGCCATCCCCTGGCTGTCGCCCCGTTGGGTGTTGAGTGCGTATTGGCGGGCAGCCCGAATATATCCTGTGACATATCGACCCTCTGTACCGTTGTTCTCGGTGTGATTAAGCACCCGGTGGGCCCCTTCTGCGATATCTTCCATCGATCGAGGTGGGTCACCGGGTACCGTGGGATTTGGTGTTCCTCTCCGTTCAGGGGGCAATTTCTGTGCATTCGCACCAGTCGCAACCATCACGGCCATCTTACCTATGTAATAGGTATCAGGTGGTAGCGCTTGAGGTTACGACTACGATGAACTAATTCTCGAGGCCACAGGGCCTCTGATTGGCGAGATATCTCAAGAAAACGTTTTTGCCAAGAAAGAGTTGTTTCCATTCTTCGTCATAGATACAGTTGATACCTGATTGATTGGATTAAATTCACTGGTTCTTTCATTGCAAGTTAAACGGAAATCAAGGGGACAAGAGAACAGCAGGCACCAATTAAAATTTAATTCGAAGGCTTAAAACAGAAGATGCAAACCAATGGTGAAACGGTGAAGTAGTTGAAACAACCTTTCATCGAGAATTAGGCTGATTAAAAAGACGGCCAAACAACAACACCGTCTCCACAGGATGAAAGTCACGTGCTCTTACTATTATCCTTGCCCCCCGGGTATTTGGCAAAAATTATTTCACCCTGACCCTACAAGCCAAGATTAATGATTTGTCATACTCAAATCTTTCAGGCGGAACCCGATTTGCCGGCAGAATCTCTCCAATCTTCGGATCGGATAGCTAACGCACTATTCGGGCGGTTTGAGGTCCACTAGCGAAGCTGATGGTTTTAAAAATGAGGCGAGCTGAAAATAGATCACAGAACTGTGATGTCATTGAGAGCGAAAACGCCCACTTTCCTAACATCATAGCGCATCGCGAACATCTTGACACTCTTGGACCACCATATCCTGGCTCCCCTTATCTCCATTGAAGCCGAACAGCTCTATGTTCTGACTCAAGGTTGTCATAACCTTTAATTCCAAATATTTCCGACGTCAAGCAGGCCACCTTGGCCTGTCCTCTCCAGATGCAGTTACCTTCGCGAGCTCGATGAAACAACGTGGACCTACGTCCACAGCTCTAGGCCAAGTTTTCCTCTTCGTCTCATTGCTAAGCCCATCTGCCGAGTACTGCCATCAGGCCCGCACCAAGGCAGAGCAAGAAGAATGCCGAGAAGACGTTGCGGATAGGAGCTCGACGCATAGACGGACTGAACATGAATTCGTGCGCAAGCAACTCAACGAGACCGGTGTAGATAAGGATGCCAGCGGAGATGGAGTCAAAAACACCGTTGACTATCAGTGTTGTCCGACCAGTGGGTGGATAAGTATTGCGCACACCCAATCCAATTGCAATGGCAATAGGAGTGGTAAGACTATAAGCAATACCCAGAATGTACGGCGTAGAGCTCCTGGACTTAGGCCACGGAATGGTCGCAAGACGAGATCCCAGACCCAACCCCTCAAAGGTCTGGTGGAACACGAGGACAATATAGAGTGTGGTGAATTCGGACCCGGACACTGCGAGTGTCAGGCCGATGAAGATCGAGTGGAAAATAATGCCGAACTCTAGAATGAAGATGCCGATTATCTGAGCGGCATATTCTTCCGATGCTGTAATACCATTCCCCGTTATCTCTGTATCGTAATGCGTGCGAGAGTGGCTCAGACGGTCCTCTACCGCCTTGTGACCCGTAGCCTGGCTCATATCCCCGACGGGTCGATGTCTGTGGTCATTGAAGCTATGTTGGTGGCTCGAACCGAAACTTGAGTAACGCATGACCATCAACTCCACAAAACACATAACCACAACAGTCATGAGAATGATGCCTTCCACCCAACTATACTCGGCGATAGGACCAGTCAAACACTCATTCTTCAGAGCCTCCTCAGCTGGGGCGAGCAGGTGGATAAAAGCAGTCGCAATGATGACACCGGAACCAAAGTATTTCGCTATGAAAAATGCCCAGGATGGTATTCCGGCCCCCACAAAACGTTTCGCAAGAACGGGGAAAACTGCGGCTATCATGGAGCCAGCCATGATGACAAAAATAGATGAAATACGGAGGCCCATCCGACCATCATACTCATTACCAGTGTCACAGGCATCAGCACTGTCAGTGTCGCCTCGTCTGGTGAGAGATCCGAGTAGGTCAGTGTCCATATTGATAAGGCGTAATATGGTTTCCCGATTAGGATTCAGTCAAATGAGAGCTGAGTACCGCGATAGACACCAGCAAGGGATACGAAAATAGTCGGTCGAGGAGATGTGCAGAAAAGTCCTAATAGTAACGAAATCCAAGTGTACATAAAGCGAAACAGAAAGTGCATCGACATTTCCAACTCAACTGAAGTATCTGTCCTTCAAATATATTGCTACAGTCCTCAAGGTCCCCAGTAAACACGGAAACTGGGTCTGACCACGTCCAGAGATTGGGTTGGCATAAGCTAAGACACTTGGCGAAGCATATGATTCGTGGTGACAAGAGTGGCAGGATCCATCGAAACTCGAAGGTGCCCACTCTTCAACAGAACCAGAAACCTTGCGACTTAGGACCTTTGATCCCCGATAATATTCTGGAGAGCGCGACAGGCTAATACGAGGAGATTAAAGGAAACAGCCGAACTGTATTCACAGTAGATTACGTTGTAATACAAAAGGCGATGGTATTTCTCTGCATGGAAGCGCAGACTCGTACGCTTTTAATCCACCCGGTAGATTGCCAAGAAACCAGATCTTAGTTAAACACAATTTATAATCGATCAGAATTTACAAATGTACTCGAGTCACAACCAGTCTCGGTTTTTTGAGATACCTGACCCAGAGAACAAAAACACGCCCCTCTTTCGTCACTAAATTGCAATTATTGGATGCATTCTCACGCCTTTCGAGACAGGTACAGGGTACCTGGATATCTTCATGTCCGTCATCAGGCACATCCAACCTCACTATCAACCTGCGTGGGAAGAAGTACAGCGCAGTCCACTCCCTCAAAACTTGATTGAAGGTTTGGTCCAGTTGGATTACCTTCCGGAGTTTTTCCTGCTCTATCGCGCGAGCACAAGATCGAGCAGCGGAAATGCCGGCGGGGAGACAAAACGGTCCGATCATGAGCAGTAGCATTGAACCTGAAACCAGCCCACAAGTCAATATCTCGAAGCGGTCTTGAGCCGTTTGCCGAACGCAAGAAGCTATAGTGGCGGAGAGCTGGAGCTTATATGACAAATGCACCTGGGCAGGGACCAATGATTCGTGATATGGGAACCCGGATTGCAAAAGTCTTGACTTTCCAGGAATGGTGAAAACGGGTTTTAACATGCCAGTGTGATGATGATACTGCTGCTCGTTTTGCCTTGAACGTGTCCTTCCCCCGAAATCTCGACTTGACGCCCTTCGGCAGATGTCGTCGTATTGTGGTAGATCAAAGCAGCACATGACGGTGAGGATAACTGAACTTGAATATCAAACCGTGAATCATAACAAGAGAGAAGATATGTTTTATAGATACCAACGGATCATAGTAAAAGCGGGAGCAAAGTGCGGATTTTGACTTCAGTCTAGTCGCCCAAGGTACTCAAGTTCAAAGTGTTGGGGGCCGATCTATGGAGATCGATAGGAAATTCGCGCGCCATCTACGGAGTGTAGGATCATGACTCACGACGCCAACCAAATATTTATGGATTGGAATCCTGCAATCTTTCTTTTAATATTCAGACTGGTGGGCAACTTCCTAGTACGTTCTCCTCGACGAACAGATATGAGATACTGTCAGTATTGGAGAGGCAAATTCAGCATTAGTCCTGTCTGCCTTATCACCACCAAGGTACTCTCTATACTCCCGACATCCCAACGTGTTCCCCGCGGGTCTTTCGCCATCCGGTTCACTGCAAAGCTCGATTGGCCGAACAATGAATCGAAATTAAAAATATGACCATTCTCTCTTCAATCGCGCCTTCTTTCTCTTCTCAACGAAGACTGAGCAACGCCTGAACGCTTATCTCCCCAATGGCAAACATGGTTGTAAGATGTCACAAGCTTCAGGAGGCCGAAATCATTCGTCACTCTTCACAGATTGTTTCGGTCGTCGGTGATCTAGCTTACATTTTGGTGGGGAACGGCTCTTTCAGGCGGAGCTCGATTTGCCGGCAGAATCCATGGACTATGGTACAGTCGGAGGTCCATACTTATACATAGTGGTTACAGTTCTGTGAATAGTTTCCAGTTCGCCTCAATCTCTGCCTGAGGCATTTATAATCCGATCAATTTTCCCTTGTGTAGTGATATCTAAGTAACAATGTGCAATTTGATCGCGAGGACCATACTGTTGGTTGTTTCGGCTCCCTGATTTTTTGGGGTGCGTAGCTCATAATTCAATATTCACATTTGAACGTTCGCCGCATTTTTATGAATAGGGTAAATAAATCGTATGGAAATGGAATTAGCTCATCGTTTACATGGAGGTTCAGCTTGATGACCAACGTGAGGAAAACACTCGCGGGCGATGAAACTATGACCAAAAACCTTCAATTCAAAGACGTTTAAATGAGGGCAATTAGAGAGTGATGCACAACTTGGTTGATCTACTTACACGTGTGACCCTCACAATGGGCACGGTTACTCCTAGGAAAGGGTTTGAAGCTCTCAGGATCGCGGGTTAGCTTCCTAGAGGAAAGCTGTGGTGGTGGAATAATTGTAAGTGTCTCAAATTTTAAATATGAAACCGCAGAAAAGTGGTGAAAAGTGGTTAGAAGGTATGTTGAAACACCGTCCTCTTTGTTGATTGAATAGGATTGGCTAAAGAACAAATTATTCTCTACCTGGACCTAAGGTCCATGCATTTCCTAATATCCTCACACCCTCCACGTCTTTGGAAAGAAATTATTTCAGCCTGCCTCCATGGAAAATGGTGTGAGTACTTCCGCCCCATTCCGAGCGCTGGGGTCGGACCGGACCACTCGAAAGTCATACCTACCCGATTCTCCAGCCTGTTCTCCTACGGTTCTATTGCTGTCCAGTGGTCCAGCCAACTGAAGATGTCTGGGGAGTAGTTGGCCTTTGGAATTGAAGCCTCCAATAGTCACTGCTCCAGTCCAGCTCCCCGAAATACACTCCGTACGAAGTCAGCAATCCCATTGCCGATCCCATCGCTAATAAGCCCCCAATGAGAGGCAGTATGCTGAGGCATTATGATGTCTTCGTGAGCCTCTTGAGCTAGAAAGTTAACGAGCAGAATTGGCAATAGGAATGAATGGCTGACTTCGTACAAAGCCATCTACTCCATTGGAAGTACGGATTAGAGTATATAGCGCAGAAAAGAGACTCAGGAGAGCTATGGCACTCCAATGTGGAGCTTGGAGTAAAATGGGCCAATAAACTCCTGCAACAGGCACAAGGCAAAAGCCCCATACGGCTCCGTTTTCCATCCCTAAATAGAATATTCTATGCAAGCAGTTCAAACAGAGCTGGAAATTTTCCAAGGCCACCCAACCCGCCGCCTACGTCATACAAACATCACGCCTAATCAATTGGTTACTGGTGTCACTCTGTGCTTCAAGAGCCGAATCCAACCCTCAATTGTTCCTTCAAAATTGCGCAGAGTATCCCGTAAAGCTCACAGAAACACCAATGAGGCCAATAACTCGAGAGAAAGGACGCACATGTAGGCAGTGCGGAAACATCGCCCACACTCTAGCTAGTCAAGCTAACGGGAGACAAGTAGAGCAGAACCCGGCTGGCTAATTCGCTGCTATCTTGGGTTAGTAGCTAACTCGGTTCACGCGCCTCGATAATTTTAAACGGAAAGAAACTGCTCAGAATGGAGGAAGCCATTTGTACAACATCCCAAGGTGTCTTGGAAGCTCTTTCACGGTTCGTGCACAAATTCTACTGTCAGCTAAGAAGTGTTAGTGTGACTAGGCTTACAGATTATTGTGTCAAAAATCTGGCGAATTCACAGATCTGGCCCTTGTCTGCGAGGGAGAAAAGTTCAATGTACATAAAGTTGTGGTTTGCTCTCAATCGGATGTGCTTCATGCCGCCTGTATTGGTAACTTCAAGGTCAGTGACTTGCGATACCACTATTAATGACGAGCTCTGATTCGTCTAGGAGGGGTCATCGGGCGTCTATGAGTTTTTGGATGACTTAAAAATTATTGTTGGAAAGCTGGTCAGCTTCTTTTACACGGAAAACTATAGCGACAAAGTACAGACCTCCGAGAAGGAGCCGCCGTCGTCATGCTCTGCTCTCCAAGAGAGCTGGGTAAGCTGGGTAAGCTATGTTGATCTATTCCATTACACCATATGTCTGCTATTCATCGTGTATCCCAATGGACCTTTCAAAATTACGCATGGATCGCGTCCTTCCTCTGCGACCGTACTACGACTCTCAAGCTGCAGGAATTCACGGCCCCATCGACGCCGATCCAAACCGGCATCCCGCAAGGATCGCCGGTCTCGCCTATTCTCTACCTGTTCTACAACGCAGACCTGATTGAGGCATGCAAGACACAGGATACAGAGGCAGTCGGATACATTGACATCCCAGGAAGCAGCTACACAGGCAGAGGAAGCGCCATGACGAGCACTATCCAGAGGATCCAGAGGCGTGCAGCTCAGATCATTACAGGCGCTTTTCGGACAACAGCCGGTGCGGCGGTGGACGTAGAAGCTCATCTTCTCCCGGTGCAGCAACAATTCGAGCAAACAGCATTGGAGGCCACGATGCGCATCAGAACCGCCCCGCTATACGTCGACATGCCTCAACCGAGGTCGGCAGGAGCAGCGAACAGAGCCCCCTCGACCGATTTTCGAACATCCTCGAACAAAAATTTAAGGTGCAGCTTGACCGGCTCGAAAAGCGTATACCGCATGTGGTGCCGCCATGGTGGATCCCACCGTTCGTCGGCATCAATGAGTCTGCAGAGGAGGCAATCAAGGACCGGCCCGTCGATCTATCTGCCCTTGTCGACCCGGGCAAAGCTGGCACCATCTGGCCTGTGGAATGCGAACGCACGGTGACTTTCGCTAAGGAGATTGACGTGATGCAAGCACAAGAACGTTTTCCTCGAATAAGATGGTGCGCATAAGCAGCCATCAATAGGTGATAGACGCAAAGCTGAGACAATCCAGGGCTAGGAAGACATAGGTCGTACACAAGGTCGAAAAGTACATAACGGGCTCGTACTCCGATTAAGTCAAGCTTGACCAATCTATTCAACTGGAATTCTTAAGTCTCTTCTTCAAAATTGCTCCATTCTCTCAGTACTTCGCAACAGCGGCATCTCTTGTCCCGGAATATAATGAAACATCATGACTGCTAGAAGCTTCGATCCATTGTCGTCGGTCACCGTCATCGGCGCTGATCCCTGCGGAGGTGCCTTTGCCGCCGACCGGGCCAGCCGTGGGAAGTGTTTCTTGCTCTACGGTCACCTCGACTACCGTGGTGCCATCCCCATGATTGAGAGTAACGGCGGGTGATTGAACGCAAGCGGAGAGATCAACGGCAGGCATCAGGTCAAAACTACCAGCGACCTGGATCTCACCATTCAACACTCCAACTTCATCGTAACCAGCGTTCCCTCATACGGACAAGACACTATACTCCAGATCCTCAGCCAATTTGACCTGCAACGTCATCGTCAACGTGGGCAATTTCTTCTACCTCGCCGCCCGCAAAATGTCAACGCCCTCGCTATCCTCGAAACTGACATCTCCCCCTACGCCGTCTGGGTCATAGGCGACGTGGTGTTCGTCAAGAGCATCAAGAAAAGTCTGGCCATTTGGGCCTAGCCCCCTTCAGCACAGGCCGACCCCCTGAAGCGTCAGGCCGAGCTCGGTCGCCGCCAACAGGTCGAGTCGATCTTCTTGCAGAACCTGGTATAGTGTCAGAACCTGCTTAAGGTCGGCCTGAACAACATTAACCCAGTCGTGCACTGCCCAGCGGCACTCACGAACGTGGGCTGGATCGAGGCTATCAAAGGTGACTTCTACATCTACGCGCAGACTATGTCGCCCTCCGTCTCGGGGTGACGAGGAAGGTGGACGAGGAGCGCCTGACTATCGCTCATGCCTACAGGCTCGACCTCGTCTCCATGACAACATACATGAACCAGAACTACCAGCATGGCACGGAATTCAGTAATTACCATGACTTCTCTGTGGGATCGATTATCCACAACAAGACCAAGAGCGCGCCAACGACCATGAAGCACCGCTACCTTTTGGAGGATTTGGAGTGAGGTCACGCGCGATACCACAAGCGGATTCAGTCGTCTGCCATCATCTGAGCTTCGATGAACCAGTTGCGATACTCGCTAAGGATGTGCGTATCGAACTGTAACAAAAATAGTATTTGTTCGGTCAGGAGGCATTGTTAGCCCTATATTAAGATGTCTTGTTGTATAGAATCTTGAGTTTGTCTTGAGGCAGCCGGTCAATATACATTGGTATTTTGTCATTTTGTCCACGATCAAGCTTAGGAGTAAATTCACCGCACGAGAAGGAAACACACATTAAGACTTTAGTGAACGTGTAAGCAACCCAATTTCTGCTCCAAATAGCAATGAACTATTAGAAGAGGACGTACATGGGCTTGCCTTGGTCAGCGACGCACGTGAAAAGTCTGATTGAAGTGCCAGTATCATGATCTCACCGGCCAGACTGTTCTACGACGACTGTATGTCTCCTGAAATACCGTGTAAAACTGGGAAACAAGTGTATACACTAACATTGTGGATATCTCCCGCTCACGCTGCGCATCTCATCAGAGTCGCACTCTCACTACCTACATAGCTTCCGGACGAATCAACCCATCCAGGAATCATAACGATGATCCCCCGATTCTTGAATCAAAAGGTTATCTCCAACGTATGCTTTCGACGCACAGGACACGTCTCGTTCACTTTCTTGTAGTTCCAAGTGGAATGGCACCCTTCGGGGAGTGGCCTGTTGACTGTTCCTTGACGATGATACATTCTGGGTATTCAGGCAGTATCGCGAATGAGAACTCGTCCGCTTCATGAATTGCAGTTTCTTTACACGCTGCCATCTGCTTGGCAGGGAAAAGTCATCAGCAATTAGAAATCCAAGTCGCCGAAGTTGTTTCAGTATTTCAACACTGTCAAGGTCCCCAGCATGTTCTATTGATACCCTCCGAATGGCCAACGAGATTTTGACGTTTCTTGGTGGGGGATCGAGTTGTTGAAGAGAATCTTTGAGTAACGTCTCGCAACTGGAAACTCATTTTTAGCCATTCCATGCATAAGCCAGCCATAACACTCTTACCGGCTACAATGAAGGTTGTGAACAAAAAAGCTGGTGAATGTTGAGGGAGCACCACGAGGAGCCATATGTAAAATGTCGCGGAAGTGATACCACGTCTAGAGTACGATGAATATGAACCGAAAGCTTTGTTACGCAGCTGAGGAAATAGGTTTTAAAGTGACAAACTTCTTGGCCCATATCGGCCTTTTGTCACGTGCGTGTGCGGGAGACTGAGCCATTTTTGCGGATTCCGAATTACTGGTATAAGTGCCGCAGTAATCGCCTTAACCCTCTTTTGACAAGTTAGCTAGACGCTTGAATCTTATTTGTTGTCAGTTTACGCCTCCACACCCCCTCATTATCGGTAACTTATGTCAAGAAAGGGGCTGATAGATTACTGTCACAGTATTCGACGCCGATCGATTCACGTGGCCTGATTGTTCAGATCATATAACAAATTGACTTGCGTTCCAAAGAAATATTCCGTGAAGCCTTTGAATGACCCGCAGGCTAACCACTGAAGCACCCAGCCCAATATCGTCAAGGCTTTGCGCTCTTCATATATGCTGTTCAGTGTGCTAGCACATAACAGCATCAAGTCAACGCCACATAACTAGCATCTGAACGATACCACACCAATACGGTCCTGAAGGGGTAATGTGATGTAAGGTGGTAGAATCCGCGAAAAAAGCTCACCAAAGCTCAGAGGCTTTTTTGACCAGCCGCATAAACTAAGGTTTTAGTCTGTTGGCTCAGCCACAATGCCCGCGTCCGTTCTTTTCCCGCTGCAAGAATAGGTCACATCAGCCATAAAACTGCTCAAGGATTCCCTTCGCATGCCAGTTCTCGCTCTTAAAATCCCCGAAGATTTGATCATAGCTTTTACACAATGTCCAACCTTTTAGGCAAGCTCACCAGTCAGATATCTGGACAGAGGACGACACCCGGCTCGCAACAGTCATCTTCTGGAATCCTACATAAGATCAGTGATGCTGTAACCGGTCAGAAGCACCCTCAGGATCACCAGAGCCAACCACCACCTAATGCCCGTTAGTTTCGTCCCATCCTGTCTACTAAGTGTAGCTAATAAGCAGCTACGGGAGGCCACGGCGGATACCAAGGTGGACAGGGAGGCTACGGAGGCAGCCACGGCGGTTATGATGGAGGCCACGGCGGATACCAAGGTGGACAGGGAGGCTACGGAGGCAGCCACGGCGGTTATGGTGGAGGCCACGGCGGATACCAAGGTGGACAGGGAGGCTACGGAGGCAGCCACGGCGGTTATGGTGGAGGCCACGGCGGATACCAAGGTGGACAGGGAGGCTACGGAGGCAGCCACGGCGGTTATGGTGGAGGCCACGGCGGATACCAAGGTGGACAGGGAGGCTACGGAGGCAGCCACGGCGGTTATGATGGAGGCCACGGCGGATACCAAGGTGGACAGGGAGGCTACGGAGGCAGCCAAGGTGGTCGTTAGCGAGGCTGTAACCGCTTGTCACAGTGGTTACGATTTTTGTGCATCTTGTTTGTTACAGAGAGTCTACTAAAGACGGTTGTCTTTTTGTAAAGAGCATGTTGGCCTACTCAGATCAAACTTCATTCTTGCTTCAGCGCTTCACAATCTCTTTCCTATTTCCCTCCTAAGAGTTACTGAGAGGAAGTTTTTATACATATGTCTAATTTTAAGATATCTCTTAGAAGCCTTTTGATGATAAAATACTCCCTCTTGAATATCGCTATTACTATCTAATATATAGTAGGCCCTAGCAAATATAGATATTGGACTTAGGCGGTATGTACCTTTTATACGGCGCACATGTAGGACGTACGTGGTAGCACGTTGAGGCGCACCCACAGTAGGACGATGTGGGTAAGCTGAAAGGCATGGATAGTTTTCCGGGCTCAAAACTAGCGTCGTCTAGTAGTTGTCTGCAAGAAAGCAGTTAGCCTTAGCAAAGTTGATCACTAGTAACTGGGTACGCCAATGCAACTATTCACGAAATCATCCGGCTGAAGTATGTTGTCTTGAAACGTTGTCTGCAGTAAAGCTTATTGTGAAGAATGGCGGCCGATCAGGAATCCGTAGGCTGCGACGTCGCTTAGCATGAGCTTGCGACTTCCAATGTGGGGAAAAGGATAGTAGGTAAGGACCAATCGGGGGACTTAGTTACTGGTTGCTTGCGTTACTAATTAACTAGTTGTAGTAATAACTAACCAGCGGCCGGATAGGCTTTGTAGTAGAAGGAATTTTAGTAAATCCACGCAACAAGGCAGAAACTTAGAGTGTAGATCATGGCATTCTTGCAATCTCAAGATATGGAATTCACGCCGGATTAGGTCCCAACAAATTATGCAGAAGTGAATCCTCGGAACAGGCTTCTAAAAAGTCAAGGCTGTCTTGTTGCATCCCGACAGTCCAATATCACTTTCAGCGATCTCTTGAAAGGGCAGATCGAATTCGCCCAGCAATAATATGTCTTCGGTACCGAACCCAAGCATTACGAGGCTGCTGCCGCAATACGTAAAATCTCCACGTGCCAAGCGTTGTAGTTCTGGGAGACCTTTCTGGACTAAACGCCTGTTCTCGAAGTCAAGAACCGATGGCATGGATTCCGAAAACAGTTCTTCAGTAGTCCAAGGAAGGGATAAGGGGGTTAAGTTCCAGGAGTAGACTGCACCGAAAATAGTTGGCCAGACCAAACTAGACCAGGGTAGGTGCCTTGGTTTGCTGCCTCTTTTTGCTGCTCTTTTCTGCTGCTCTTTTTCTGCTGCCCTCTTACACGTTGCCCTAAGCCTCGTGAAAAGCTTCATCGAATTAATTAGCTGCGTGCAACTACAATGGGCCACATCGCCACATTAGATACCCAAGGACAGTTAGAAATTCCGGCGGCTCCTCGTGAACTGGATCTTGAATCTCGGAAAGGGAACTCTCGAAAATCAAACTTACGTTAACGTCCTATCATGCTCTATAACTATAGGGTACCAAAACCAAATTTTCTTGCATCTATACAACAAACAATACACTTAGCGCGAGGATTGTGCTAAACGAAATTGAAGCCTTATTGGCGACGCTGGTTTTACTGCTGCCAGACGTCGCTGTGCTTCCCGAGCTGTTGAACGATCCAACCATGCTTTGGAGCCTGTCTTCCCCTTCAACTAGGACCAGAGCCATCCCAGTCTAGACAAAAATAGTCAACATCAATATGCGAAAACTGAAAATGAGGGAGGAGAAACAAACCACAATATGCCACTGGATATGGCAGTGCAGTATCCATGCCCCGGGATTATCAGTCACATAGCTGTGCTTGGATTAGTTATCTACCAAAAGGAGCATGCTGCAAGAGAGTAATTGAGTCAAAGGCTCACCGGATTGCTAGCCATCCTGCCGGTGGCAAGTTCGCCGTATCCCGATACGGTGGATCATCCAGGTTGATAACAGACGATGGCGCTTCCGCCACTGATTGATATGGAAACGATCCACTGCCGGAGCCCAGAACCCAGAATTTATGGCCGTGAAGGTGCATTGGATGGCCCATCTGGATATGGGTTAGTTAGTGGGGGGTTTCGCTAGTCTGGGAAATGGACTGCGCGACGCACCGTATCCATGGAGTCATTCGCGACATTCATTATAATATCGATAGTCGAGTTCGACGGCATATGCAGCGTAGTGCTCGCCTTCCACCCATCGGACACGTTCCCGTATATTAGTGGAACCTCCGCCTCAACATACGGTTCCTGGTTCACAACCCAGGTAACAATGCCAGTCTGGTTGATGGTAAACATTCGCGTTAAGTCTGCAGCCTTTCGTGAAGGCCCATTGCCCTCGAACGGTGATAATTTCGTCTCGACCAGTTCACTAGCGCCGTGCTTAGTTGAACCGTTAGTCAGCATCCAAATAGACGCAGGGTCGATCGAGATGTCCGGTGGAGTGACATTATTTCCGTCAGTCTGCGTAGAGTGTCAATAATGATAAAAAAAAGTGCACGGATCACTGACAATGTAAGACACTATGGCCTGGCCTTCCAGGACCTGCTGCATGTCGCCATTAGGATAAGTGGCGAATCGCAGGTAGTAGTTACCAGGTCGCTGATCGAGCTTTATCATCACCGAGTATCGCTGGCCAATAGCGATCTCCAGAACCTGTCATAGTTAGGAAGAAATCCTAGGCTCCTTGGAGGGCGGTCTTACTTTCACCTCCTGTGTATTAACGTAGAGACCATCGGCAGCATAAACGTGCATTGAATGGCTGTCAAGTGACACCCTAAGAGCGCTAACTGCTCCAGAATTGGCCAGGTTAAGGGCAAGCCACCCCTGAGATGCATTTGCTGTGATAGTCAATTGAGGTGACGTAGTATTCATACAGGTTTCTGGTGGAAGTGAGCTAACGTTGTATCCTGACCGAAACATCATAGGTGGTGTACAGCCGCGGGGTCCCAGTGCCATTGATGGGCCCATGCTTGCTGAGGTGGCCATGCCCATTTCGCCTGTCGTGGACGTGATTGGCTCCGATGATACACTTGTAAACATTGCAGGCATGGTCATGTGGTTGACAGTGTCATCGTTGGCGTTGCCATCCATCCTCCTCACCATCCCAGACATTTCCATATCCGCAGATGTGGTCATCCGCGTCGCCGTGGAAGAAGGATGGTGCACCGAGGTCGGCTCCAAGCTTAAACCTAATCCTGGTCCAGCATCGAGCATAGACTTTGGCAGACATTCCACCCTGCCAAATCCATTTGCAAGGATGCTGTCAACGCAGCCAGGAAAGGCGCCTGTTTGCAGGTAGCGTTCAAATATCGCGTCTGAAAGGTCATGGGTCCAATCATTCAGTAGAACAGCGACAGCGTCTTTCTCAGCTTGCAACATCTTATCGCGCTCCGCATTGTCCTCGGCTAGTTCCTCAAATGGCCGGCGGCGGGATGCTGCCGGACGGATAACCAAAGGCCCTCGTACAGCATCATTGTAGTATGCGCGAAAGTGGGAATGATACCAGTAGAATCCGTATTCATTCTTGACAGAAAATCGGTATGTGAAATTTCCACCGGGCGGTATCGGATACTTCAAGTTTAATAGCACTCTATAAGCATTTGGCCGTATCACAGTGATCATTACTTACCTGTGTCACCCCTGGAACACCGTCCATGTCTGGTGTTCCACGTTGTAGTACCCCTTCGTCGAATGAGTTAGTTATAAGTTGCGCAACGCGTCCCCTGGACTGACATACCATGCCAATGGATTGTAGAATTAACCGATAATTCATTTTTGACAAACACCTCCACGTCGTCCCCCTCATCGACTTCAATCGTTGGACCCGGCTGTTGGCCATTAATGAGATAGACCTCGCGTGAAAATCCATCTGTCAGTAGGAAATATCAGTTCTCTATTCCCGTCACGGACTGCCGAACCGATAAGGACGGTACCAACCTGGGCTACGTAGGGCACTGTGCAACGTGAAGTTGAAAGTCCGCAGTCGCGCTAGGGCGACTTGTACCGTAAGGAAAAGGAGTATTGCATAAAGCTGGAACGAAAATACCGTCATCTTGAGCTAGCCTTGGGTCAAAAACCGTATGGAGGTCATAGGCGTTGAGAATGTTGCACATTCCTCGACCTCTTTGGGTCTTTTAAAGGTTTCCAGAGGAGGGGATGGCGTTTCGCGGGTTCTAGTGGGCCTTGTGTCTATTGCAGGAATCCGATACAAAAGAGAAACGTTCTAGTCTGTCTTGGCAGTGGTAACTTCAGCTATTGGTGGCGGTGTAAAGTCAGGGGCTCACCGCATACGGCATAATACAGTATCCTTTCCGCAACCGGCCATGAAAAAAAGCGCCCCGGAGCTTGGATTGCTCCAATGTGTTTCATGTACTAACCTGACATGGCTTTTGGGGGAACTGTTTCGTATTAAGACATCATATCAAGGTTACAAATAAAGACTAAGGGTCTTTTGCCCTTTAGCCGTTTCTGTTATCAATAACTGATCGAGACGGGTTTTGCGCTGCGTACCATTCCAAATATCATTTCATCTACCAGTGCGAAACGCTGTGGGGCGGCAGCTAGGCGTAAATTGCGCGCTCATTCTCAGCTCATACTGTATACACAGTATCTGTTTCGACCCGGATGTCTAAGGACGCGCCAAGGAATAGTCACTATGTAACTGATCTCCATCAGCATCGCCTAAAATATTGTTGTCTACAGTCGAGAAAATGAACTAGTAGTGCGGTCGGCGTAGTGGTCTAAGACTCCCATGCAAATACTTGGTCCGCAAGACTTATATAATACGTAAGAGAATGCTCAGTTAACCTGAGTTCTTTATCTTCGTGGCCAAGGGAAAGGTACTGTGGGACGTGAAGTGGCTTTCATCTGCCTGCTGCTGGCAATACTATCGGACGCGTCCGAGTTAAGGGGGTGTTATTTTACGCACAAATCGCGCATAAAAGAACGGGAGAGCCAATGTGGCCGGCTCTCACTGGTTGGTTAAAGTAGAGACGAGCGTTTATGTTTTGAGTTTTTATCAAAGCTGCGCCACTATGACGTAATTTTACGCACTAATCACGCATCAATCACTAAACTGCGGATACAGTATTTTGGAGCTATCAAAGCTGCTATGTAGTCACACCCACTGGTTACAGTGTCCAAACATCGAGCTCCTTGGTATCCCTGATTTTGGCCCCGCGTTAGGTGCGAAACTCTGTGTCCCACTCTATGTGCCAAGTGGCGCCACAGACCTGTACAGAGTATATTAATTCTGAATGTATTTCGCCTTCATAGCAGAACTGCTTTTCTCTTACCGCTAAATATTTGTTTCGTTATCCATGCTTGAGATTATTCATAATCCGCAAGAAATGGAGCATGATGTGACGCAGCGTCTTTCTATAATTATCCTCAACAATCTTCAAGAGGGCGACATTACCATCAAAAACACCGTCATAATCAGGTACTTCAAAGTTGCTACCGACCATGGACTGAATATGAACTAATGTTCTTTGGAAAAAGTGGTCAAGCGTACAAAGATGACGAGAAACTTGAACTACTGTCACCTGAAGATGTGGATAAGACAGTGGTCCCACGTGGCGGGAAAAGAACAATCTCTTTTTGCGGCAGCGCAACTTTCAGATTGGGAGTGGAAGGCATATTAGATTTACACTGCGACGCCCACGGCCGAATTGCCTCGCTGTATTGGAATGGTCCTTGGACTCGGATTGGAAATCAATTTGACGTGACAAACCTCAACAGTGAAGAGCATCTAATAACCGTGTCCCCTATTCTTGGGAGCGGTACTTTAGGAGACGTCTCAGTTAATGTTGCACGCATTGGTCACTATTTTCAACGCCCTAATCGCAACGAAAGGTGTATATTCTCAGTCTGCGGAACCCTAGCTACTTTTTGTTCCAATCAATAAACAATAAGAAATAAGAATACACGATGCGCTTAAATGAGTCGACCTATATAATTCTAAGGGTACTTCTGAATGTCCTTTGATTTTCTGAAGGAGGTCAATTGTGGTTTTAATACTACTGGGGGTTCAATACTTCAGGAGTGACAATCTAGAGAAGTGAAAACCCTCCGCAGGGAGCGGTCAAAACCCCAAGATACTATATACCATCGGAAGTGTCAATATCTGAGCTGCAATGCATGTTTTTGAATACGGGTTAGGGTCATTCTTGGACGCGCAAATCCTGCGAATTCCACTGTGATACATTTATGGACCCATGGACCTATATTCGCGGTGCAGTATCAAAAGCCGGTTTAATTCCATTTCTCCTACTCCGTTCTCTATGACAAATATACATGTCCTGCGGTGACTGCACCTCGGTCAAAATCTCGTCCGAGCCTGTCCAGACAATATTGAGTCTCTTCAACGCCTTCTACATGGTCGGGAACCTATACAGGATGGATCCGTGTTATTTTGTTTCGCGCTGTTAGCTGTTAGTATGTTACAGTATATGCTTGCTTCTCTGCTGCAGCATGCACATACTAAGTTGCTAGACTGTCCTAGACTTTCTTTTCGCGGTTAGGTGGTCGTAGGTGGCGTCGAGAAACTACGAAAGCTCTATCGCGACCTCATCTGGGCGCGCAGCGAGGGACTCACGTAGACTGGTGTGGCAGATTTCGATGTGTGTCGGCTTGTTGGCTTGGGGGCAAGTGACTACGGCGGGAACGGTCGGTGGCAACAGATAGCACAGATGCCATTGATGGGCTAGACGACTGTCGAGAAGATGGTGAAATGATCAACAGCGGACGAACTTGCTCGGAAGACGATCTGGTGTAAGAAAAAGCCATTTATATGCCCTATTTTGCAAGACGCTCACTTCGAACACCAAGATTTAGCCCTATCCAATGCTACAGAAACTATTTGACAAATTGGTCCTCTTGAATACACGAGTACTGTATATTCCGACCATCTATTGCTTTACCCTGAAGCCGACCCACGGCAGCTGAGTTCTCATAAGCAGACTGCTGCAGATGACGCTGACACTGCTCAGAGCCATTGCCAGGCTTGCCCAAACAGGGTCCAAACGGACGTGTTTTCCATTGCTCACGATCGGATATAGGACGCCGGCCGCCACAGGCACAGCAATGCAGTTGTAGACCAGGGCCCAAGCGAAGTTGAACTTGATGTGGCGGAACACCACGCGACTGAGGTCGACTACTGTAAGGTCAGGAGTGACGTGAGTCCCGGCGACACCAGCACAAATTCGGCCGCAGAGATGGCAAGGGATCCAATGGCAATGCCAAAGTCAGCCGCGGTGAGTGCGGGGGAATCGTTAATACCATCTCCCCGCTGATACTTCTCTTCACTGGCACGGTAAGTCACTCCCATGAAGAAACAGTTTTCTTTTAGAACCAGTGATCACTGATTGTGCCATAACAGGGATTTTGCAAAGGGGAAGTCCCGATATAGATGGAGTGCCTAGTGTCACGCAGGTCAGCTCTTAAATTTGGCGGTAATTTACATCCTTGTTGCTGATTCTAGACCATAGTACTCTATACCTCCCTGGCGGTAACTTCACCTATAGATTCTCGGTCAAAGATCAGTATGGCTTCTTCTGGTATCATTCCCACGTTAGAGCATACTACAATGACGGCATAAGAGGGCCACTCTTGATACGACCATCCCACCAAGGACTGCGGCCATTTGAAAAGCTTGCTCATAACCCACACGAGCGTGATATCATTCTGCAGACGGAGAGGGATGCTACATCCATTCTTTTGAGTGACTGGACACATGAGCTTTCGGACACCATTTACGCTCGATACTTTGAGACAGGCGCTTTTCCAAATTGCGTCGACAGCATCCTTGCCAATGGATTCGGGAGGGTTGAGTGTTTACCGGAGTATATGCTCCAGGCAGGACCCAATATGGGATATGAAGATATGAACCAGTCTTCTTCATCAATGATGGCAATGTCAATGGCAAAACGAATGGACATGGACATGAGCATGGACGCATCCGCCACGTCTTCTCAGATGTCAACAGGTACAATGGCTATGGATACGACCGTGGATATGACTATGTCTAGCACTTCTATGGCCGCAATGCCGATGTCAGCTACAATGACGATGTCGGACATGTCACCGTCCATGACTTCATTGAGTCCCCGTGGCTGTATGCTGCCAATGATGTTTAGGCAAGGCTACAATGCCAGTTCACTCCCACCTGAGACCTGCACCAATACTTCATCGTCCTTGCTCACCATCCCTGCGAATCACTCGCGTGGTTGGCTCGCGCTGAATCTGGTTAACTCCGGTGCAGTCAGCAAGTTACATGTCTCTCTGGATGCACACTCTATGTTTGTCTATGCTGCCGACGGATTGTATGTGGAAATACAGGAGGTGAAGGTGAGCATACCTTTGAAGAGCATCCGTTATATCCCCCAGCCTAGGCTCACCACACGTCATTTTAGGTCTTGGAACTAGAGATCGGCCAACGGTACTCAGTGATGATTCGACTTGATCAGAAACCGGGGAATTACTATCTCAGATTCGCATCATATCCCAATGGCGACATGCAACAAGTGCTTGAAGGGCAAGCTATTGTGTCCTATAACGTAAGAAAATCGGCAAGCAAGTTGCGACCATATCATGCCCGTGCTGACTTTTCGTTTTCATTTTGCAGATGAGCATGATGAGCAGCAGGACTCCAATGAACGTCACGGTCAATCCCACAACCATTTGGATGTTGACCAACGGATCAGCCAAACCTGATACCAGCGTACTTAATCCTCAGTTGCTTTCTCCCTTCGCACCTGTCAGCCCTCCCTCAGCACCAGCAGATCAGACATACACTTTCACAATTAACCAGACCGACATTGTGACATGGGTAGTGAATGACGCCTCGTACTCTGAGCCAAAAATACCAATCATCCAGGGCAACGTATCAGACGGTTGGCAGGCGAATACGACCATCCATGTGCCGTCCAACTCAACGATTGATATTATTATGAGGATTGCAAATGATTCGATGGATACGGTAAGTCTGTTAAATTAGTGATTCCAACGACGTTTCTATAGATGTGGACAGCTGGAACTAATGGGAGATAAACTCACCGCAGATGAGCCGTCCCATGCACCTACACGGCCACAAATTCTGGGTGCTTGGGTCCGGTACCGGCTCTTTCCAGTATGATTCCGCGACGGACGCCCCAGAATCCCTAATAAATCTTCGAAATCCTCCTTATCGTGACACAACTAATCTTCCTCCGTCAGGATGGGCCGTGATCCGGTAAATCACATGGATATTCTACTGGCCAGACAATAGCTTACCTTTCTTAAAATCAGATATGTTACGGATAATCCCGGCGCGTGGATCTTTCACTGCCATATCCAGTGGCACATGGTGGTGAGTACAAATGCTAGACGGTTGTATCCTGAATAATCCTAATAATCTCGGTCTTGCTAACATTACATTCTTTTCCTTCGCAAGAGCGGCATGGCACTTGTCCTTGTTGAAGGGCAGGATCAATTTCCCGCCCTGCTTGGTCAGCCTAATGGTACCACTACTGCTACGTCAGTGGCGCCGATGCGCCATATCAGCTCTCGTCAGACTGCTTTGACTGCTGCGGCTGTCAGTCTCATGATGTTGTGATGAGTCCGGAATATTTGATGCAGCAGATATCTCTTTTTCGCCGAAACGTTTAAGACTGCCTGGGGCCGGCAGTTCAATATTACTACGCTGACCCTATCGGCGCACTGACCCTATCGTGCGCCGATGCACCGCTCTCACGCTGCCATTGTGGTGCATTATAAAATAAGTAATGCCAAAATCATTCTTTCCTTTGTACATCTACAAGTGCCGTCGCGGGGGTGTCATCGCTCCCTATTCGCAACGCTGCCTATCTCCGATACTACATCCCGCTCCTGCTATATAGCAGTGCCTACATAGACTGCCCTGCGATGTAGCAATGCCTACATAAACTACCTTACTCTATATAGCAGTTTCTACATAATCCCCTGTGCTATGTAATAGTTTCTATATAGTCCCCTCTGCCAGGGAGGAGCAATAACTGATGCTGATACTGATGGTGATCATAGAATTTCGTAGTCAATTTCTAAGATTCGCCGGACTCCATGGCCTTGGGACTTGGGAAGCAAGTGGGTCGGTCTTGTAAGAACTTGAAACGATATTCTGTCCGCAACACCGTTTCCTGTCCTTTCTACCTTTACAATGGCCAAAAGGTCCCGCGTACGACCAAAACCTTTTGAGGGTGGAGAGAAAGCCACTTCGACAGAGAAGAAACCGACGCAAGACGAATCTAGACAAAAAAGTTGCAATAGTATAGCAAGATGTGCGGTGCAGATGTTTGCTTGGAGATACGCATTCGAGAATCAGAAAAAGTGTTCATTTTCTCGGCGGACGCATCGCGTTTTGGTCATTCATAAGCTCTCAGCTAGATATGTGCTATTGAAAGTCTCTGTCGATTCAAGTATCATGTATGTTAACTTACCCTAGGGTTCCTACTATCCAGTACCAGTTGAGAGAAGCCAAAAGAATCTAAGGGGCCAATCATCATACCGAAGATATAAGAAAACTTATTGCAGCACCATATATGGCCTGAAACGGCCACCAACAATTTGATGTTTGCTTTATAATTTAATTATTAACCAATTGACAACATATCATGAATGATAGGATGTGAAATTTTAAGAAACACTAAATTTCCCAGTGTAGCAAGGCAGTTATTTCTGGTGGAAAAGTTAGTATATCCGTGTGTGCTAGATATTATGTGGAATGCTGAAATGCTGAACTCACACCGCAGGCATTGCAAGTGCAATCCTTTGTGGAGCAAGTGCAGCTCTGGGGACCAGTGCAGGAACATGTGGATCCGCAGTTGCAGGCCATATTTGCAGAGTAATGGGTAGTGGTCGCTGAATGTATTGAATGATCTGGAATCTGATTGATGGTTTAGTCACAAAAAGTCTGGGGACCTTGGGAGCCTTTATACTTTCAATGGACAAGGTAAAAGAATGATCGGAAATAGACGTCACCAGTGGTCATAAATCTTGATTGACTATTGTAGAGGGGCAAGGACTAAACGTCATCATTACAGAAGAACAGTTGCGTCATCCGCCAAAAGCGTGGATAGGCTGTTTCTTTTCTTTGTTTGAAAGAAATAATTAGTTTATATCAATGTCAATTAAAGGGCAATAGTCAATCGATGTTGCTTAGGTGCGAATGCGCACCTGGCACCCCCTCGTTACCTGGAACACTTGGCTGATTTCCAAGCTTCGTATCCAAGCTTACCATACGTAAAATGACGGAAGTCCTACCCGGCTTGATGCAGCGTACCATTTTATATAGTGTAGTGGTCTCGGATCCGCCGCATTCAAATGCTAGAGAGAAAGAAAGTATAACTACGGAGTATCTCTAGGGACGAAGATGGATTGGCAACGCCGGGTAAGTGGTCTGAAAGTCGGGGGAATACAATGAAAAACCACTTGAAGAATATATATACTTTATTCGAAGGCAGATTGCTTCCTGAAGTCTGAATCAGAGAGAGCCGTCGCTACCTGTCCAATAGTATCAGTACCGGACATTTGCTCAAGGCCTGAGATATTTTCGCGTCGTTTAGCACGGAATGCCAAGGTAGGCGCCGACACAGGCCCACAGCTTTCCCAGCCGCCCCTCCGGTCCCCTTGTAAGAACTTGATTCACCGTGAGGATTCGTTGCCCCGCTACACCCAGCCCGGGAATGTTGATGGTCCTTACTATGATTGCAAGGATGGCGTGGATCCAGGAAGAAACTCACCCACAATACCAGGGTTGTCGAGTTGGCGTTGAGTATTTGCCCCAAAACAACAGCAAAGTGAGTTTCACGACTTGGTGTTCGCATTGACGATCTTTATACGTATATTAAAATCATCATTATATTAAGAGCCGCGCGGTTGCTCTAAGAGTTGGCGCATTCATTGCTTGAGACGTCGTGCTTGAGAATTCTTCGTGAGCCCTTTAAATTCAAATTACTTCAGCAAGGGCAAGCCTTATCTACCTAGCCTTCAGTGTGTTATTTTACGTTCCTTGGGGACTTGCTGTCAGCACCTTCATCCTGCTGCAGTTTGCTTTCTTCACCGCTCTTAACGGTACAATTCGGACACACTATATTGGGGCAGTGGAGGAGGATTGAGATTATATGCCTACGTGAGTCATTCCGTGATAACTACAGCCTTGTATTAATATCACGTCTATTAGCGGCATGGACCTCATCATTGGATGTGAGATAGCCCAGTCTCCGCAAGCAGCAGCCGTGGCCGCACAAAACAGGTCAGCGCATTGGACATGTGTACACCAAAGTTACGCTGCGGGAGTTTACTGACGATACCTTTGCTGTGCAGGCAGGGCGACCGCAGGTATGACTAGCCCTTCCGCAGGATTCCCGTTGAGGCCAGTTGAACTGATGAGCCATAGTGGCTAGGCATGCTCGGGTCCGTTATTAGGCCCCAGGTCGGCGACACTGTCAAGATCAGCTTTAAAAACATGGCTTCAAACAATCATTCTATGCATCCACATGGACTTCGCTACAGAAAGCCCAACGAAGGGGTAGCAACTGCAGGGCAAGAACTCGGTGGCAACTCAGTCCCACCAGGACAAAATTGGACATACACGTGAGAAGTCCCAGGTAGATACAACTGTTCATAATTTTGCGGTTATCAGAAGCTGACGTTAATGCGCCAGAACGCGCTGGCCCGGGGCGTTTAGATCCGCCATACTTAGCCTGGACATACCACTCCGACCTCCTCGGCACGCAAGACATTTATAGTGGTTCGGTCGGAGCTTTAATAGTCTACAGGCCTGGAGAGCTTGTCAAGCATACGCTAGACGTTCCAGCGCCCAGAGGTTAGGACCTAAACGAGGAGGTTCTAACTCTCTTTATGATAGTGAAAGAGAATCGTCATCCTACATTGATGGGAATACCTTGAACAGAACTAATATAACGTGTGGCGAGCTTCAGATGAATCGCTTGAAACTTGGCTTTCAAGAAAGCAATATGAAGCATAGCATCAACGGGCGCTTATTCGGAAACCTTGAAGGATTAAATCGTACTGTTGGTTAAGAGGCTCGCTGGCATGTGGTGAGTTACAGCTCAACTTGTACTGTTGCTAAGTTACCAATTTTAGCAATCTTTTTGGGAAACGTCCAAAAAGCCCGTACATCGCATTGGCGTGGTAACAATCTTACGTGAGCAGGGCAAAGGCTTGGCGTTGTAAGTTGTTGTATTGAATTACAGGAAACTCGATTCTGACCTGCTATGTTTTCGTTATCTGTTTTCCCAGCGTAAACAAAATCCTTAACAATGACTGTGGACACCCCTGGAGTGTGGATTCACCATTGTCAAGTGGTCAATCGTCGTAGTAAGGGAATGGTAGCGGAGTATCATGCTGTTGGGCAGGATTAAAAAGATGAATAAAAGCCGTTTTCGCCATTCAGTGGCAGGTGACCAATACAGGACCTGAAGAGATTAACTAAGCTTGAAACTTGGTCATAATGACTGCTTAATCGCATAAAAGGGCACGCTGTTGAAGATTGTGGACATCATATTCTCATGGTCTGGGACGAATTATTTAACAGGTGGTCTGACGAATGCTTGCGTGGTCTCGTAGTCTTCTTGCACGTATTCGAAAGTAACTGCCCTCCGGACTATTGAAAGGACGATCTTCCGTGTCTCTGGATGCAACTATACTGTGCAGCTGACGTGGAGGGATCATGCATTCGACGTGCGTAGGGTCGACTAGTTCCTTCATTTCCATGGTTTGAAGATGCTTCAAGTTCCTTCACCTCGCCAGTACCGTTGAATGATGATGGCGAGGGAAAGTGCAAAGCGTAAGGAGTGAAGTCGTGCGGAAGTTGAGCATTGCCAGTACCAAACACATCTGGATGGAACCCCTCCCAATCAACAGTATAGGCGTCTGCTCCAGTGCAGCCTGGTGAAAGCTGCGTATAAGTTGAGGAAAACATGTCCTCTCTATACAGATTCTCGGAATTTATGCCGTTCGCGAGTCCGGCTGAGGTTGTCATTATTGGGAAGTCAACAGAAGAAAACGGCATATCCAGATCAGGATCCTCTGTCACGGTTCGATGAACCGAGAAGTTATCAAGAGCCATTGGTGCTAAAGTGGGTTCTATGTATCGGGGGTAGCCAGGTGTCATGGCGGAAGAAAGGCCAGTGAAGGATGAGAGGTCGGCAGGCGATATAACTGAGTCTGCGGCAAAGCTGTCCTCAGCTGACTTATACTGGAGCCCGCTGTGCTGATTCAAAGTTTGGGATTTGGGTATACTTGCTGAGGGACTTGTCTGTATCGAAGCGAATTGTCCAGGAGACCTGCAACGATCTTCGTGGAGGACAGTTACTGCGCTCTCTGACTCGGATAACGTGCTCTTTCTTTGTTCGTGAACAAGGGGATGCGGCGGAGAAAGCACCGAATCAAGTTCTGGGGACGGCTCTTTCTTCAACGCGCAGACACAACGCTCCCCACGAACACAATTACATTGTGGATAATAATTTTCTGTGCTTTAATTTAGTTAACAAGGAACCAGCCAAGCATACCAAATACTAATATACTCACGAGTCTTACAGTCATTCTTTGCTTTGTTATTATTGCCACATCCGCACTTGACATGTGCTGATCGTGATTCGCGTAGACTACGACAGTGAGTGCACTGAGAGACTGGTCGCCCTTTTTTATTGACAAGGGTCAAGGGACGCTCTAGAGAATCAATCAGCAGGGCACCAAATCAGTATCTCAGTACTGACAGACCGGAATGGGAACAACTGGCAGCACGGTGGCCACGGATACAGGCGTCACAAGCCCACTTCTCACCATTGATAAGCATTGCTGGCGTTTATGTCGAAGGAAGCACGGAGCTAGAACGTGAGCTGTGCCTTGAATAGATTTCAAGCAGAGCGCAAAAGTGATGAGTGATTAGAGACACGTTGACGGTAAGATGAGCTGTCGGTGGCGAAGTGGACATCGGTCGGATCGGGTTTAAGTTATTTGTCACGACCTGAGATGTATCCGTCCAATTGGAGATGTAAATGACTCTGTATTTCCATTACCCCTATTTCCTGCTATTTATGGGGTCCATTCTAGTTACATAAGCTATGCCGGTCGGATCATCTATAGACCCGGTTTCATGCGGTATTCGTACGATATTTGTGACATTATTCACCCTCCGTCATAAGTCTGCCGTGACCACAAAAGGCACGACCGAGACAACGTTCGAAAAGCAATTCTGCACCCGATTAGGAATAAAGAGGTACCGTTCCGTTTGTCGCTTGCTGCTGACCTAAACTTTGATGGTTCTTTATTAACCCACACATTCTTGCCCTCTTCGTATAACCCTGACAACAACTAATAGCGTGCCTGGGTCCTCTAAAGTATTGCAGCCGTGGCCGGGCAAGCTCAATTGCACGGTAGCCCATAAGGTCCATGGCTATGAAGTGCCTTGTTACTGGGGCACGACATGATTTATAGCCTACGTGAGAGTCCAGCAAGACTAGGGAGTCCAGCAACATTAGAGGGTCCGGCAAGACTAGGGAGTTAAGCAAGACTAGAGGGTCCAAGACGACTAGAGGAAGCCAGGACTCTCCAATCAAATGCCGCAAACTTCTTGACTGAAACGGACCAGTAGGTACTATACCCACTGGCCCGGTTTTGTGCATGATATTTGCTGGCCCTTTCGACCGGGAGTATCAATCTGCATGGCATGGCCTGACCAAACGAGAAGAGGAAAAAGAAGTATTAAGTGTTAAGCTGGATATTTTTTCCTACAGCCCCGCTCTTTTTTTCGACTTCTGGAGAGTCCGTTACCCCAAAGTGGAGAAAGGAGTAACAGCTGGCCAATTACATGATAACATTGTAATAAGAATATAATTGGCTTTTAGTTACTCATTTCTCCACTCTAAAGCAACAAAGTCCTTATTGGTTTGCTTCTAGTTATACATAATCGAAAACGGCCTATACAGCTGCGACTATAACAGCCAATGCTCTAGAAGCTTCTATAGGTTGATTTCGTCCCTTAGGATACGAGCAGAGAGGTTGCTACACTAAGCACGAGCTTATAATAAAGTCATAAGGAGAAGTGAACGTCAGCTATGCTACTCTAAGGTGGAGAAAGGAATACCAGAGTTCCCAATCCCTAATCATATTTTGGTTCCTCTGATCCATTAGCTTTACGCGGGAACTTTATACTGTACCCCTCGAAGCGATGGCATTCATTTGTCAGATTCACTTTTCTACATCGTTGGCTACAGTATCACGTTCTATGGGAGAAAAGATCCGTGGGCCCTAGCTTGTTATCTCCCAACTATCTAGAAAAGCGAGGCTGGATGCCAAAAACTCGGCGTCAATAGCCAATCAATCTACAAGTCGGCAAAGTCACGTGCATACACCGCTACGGAGTATCGTACAGAGGTTGCGGAAAGGTCATGGTATTCGTCGTGGTTGGGTTGATTCTATAAAAACGGCCATGCATGGGCCGCACAATAATGAACCAGTTGATTGGGCGGTTGACGCGCCCCTTAGTGTCTCATGAACCAAAAGATCGTCTGATTCTCTTTATTGTAGGAAAAACTACGGTTTCCGCGAACTCTGATTCTCTCTATCATAGGAGAGACCACAGATTTTCTTATAATCTAAACCCTTCGGGGGAGCCTACACATCGTTGGAAAAGGTAGATCCTAGGGAACACCACGGTTTCCGCGCGCTCTAGGCTCTTACGAACCAGACGATCATCTGATTATCTGTATCAAAGGAAAAGCCACGGTTTCCGCGAGCTCTGACTCTCTTGCGAACCGCAAGAGCATACTGCCATCGCTGTCGTAAGAAATGTCACGATCCTTCAGCGGCTCTAAGGGTCTTCCCATGAATCAAGGCCCCGTCAGACCAGTTGTATATAAGAGAGACTACGATTGTCGTCCACGATCATAATCTCACGAATCAAAAGATCACGGGACAATATCCATCCCAAGATTTACCATGATTCCGCGATCTCAACGGTCATGTGGTGCTTTACCGTCAACTACCGTTGTGGTGTAACGGCATAGCTCATGTGCGGCCCTCAAGATCCGGATCTTGATCGAACAAGCACTGTAGCCACATTCTTCTTGGCCTACTCGGTTAGTAAGCCCGCCCGGTCGCCAGTTGACTGCGAAAGGGCCGAGCTGGCCCATGAGCCGGAGACTATGGGCCAGCTCGGCCCTTTGGCAATCAACTGGCGACCGGTGCTCGTGACTATTAGATCTCAGCGTCTGCCTCTTACGCCACCGCCTTTCAGCCATGGCCATTTGGCATAAGCTCTGGAACAGTAGGCAGTCATCTCCAGCTTACTGTCATCGGACATATGATATCTGATCACAGGCAACTTTGGATGCTGAACTCCTTACATTGGACCTCGATGGCCTTGAATCGATTTATGAGAGGCTTTAATAGCCAGGTGGCTCATTAGGCCACGTACCAGTTCTAATGTCTATAGAGACTGTCATCCTATGGATCCTAAAGCCGGATATGATCCCAGGAACGTGAGCCCCAATCGCGAAATAATAAGCGGCATCATGAATAGGTATCATCAATATAATTTCAACACGCGAGCAATAAGAGCGGGCAACAGAAAGAAGGGGGGATTAACTAGGCAAAAAGCTTGTGTAAAGACACAGTTTGAATAGAACGTTATTGATAAACGATCAAATGACGAAACATGCATCTTCAACAATGCTTTCCAAGCTATCAGAATAAACAAAAAAGACACCTAGTGGTAAATCTATAGTGGTGAAAGCATGAAGTTCAACGGGTAACAAATTATTTGCAGTCGGCCAATAAACAATTAGTTGTTTCAGGAAGTCGACTACAAAATCGTCGAGAAGAATAGTCAATGATTAATCCTTCGTTTTCTTCTTAAACACAGTGAAAGAAGTAGGGTGTTTATTTGAGGTGATTGGCAGAACAGCATTCTCCACCCAAAATCAAGCGTATTCTTCTAATACCCAGGCACCCCAGGTCTGCCGCAAATCATATTTCGCCCTGCGCAGCCAGAAAGATGTTATTCTGGACAAGCCAGTGCTCCGTCCACTTTTCTGCCATATTTTCCCGGATGGTGAGCGGGGTTCACTGGGCCTGTCGACTCCAAGGAGGCCATGACCAAGTCTTTCCAAGAGGGTTAAGAGATGGGCATTTAGTTTGTACGGGCTTCGTCGGCTGATTGTCTGAGATCGTACGCGTGAGGTAAGGGCTGATATCGTTTTGATTCGACGCCTTCGACGTTGGGTCTTTGTGTAAAACTATGGAGGCGCTGTTCAGAAACGAAACGAAGATCGAATCCTCCATCAGGTTGTGGATGCTTTTCACGGCAGGTTCAAGAGTCTCAGGCAGCGGCGGTGTCGACATGTCTTTGTGTCGCAAGAGGGCATCACGTACGTTGACAGACAGGTTGACCTCACGGGCTGCTCCGGGGAGAATGTATGTCGCCAGGAGAAGCTGATAGAGCTTACTTAGGTTGATGCTTGCCGAGGAGTTGATTGTCTCTATGGACTTCTCTGCTGATTCGACTAATGACTTGTAGCCTTCGCGATATCGTTTCGCTTCGAGGATGAATTCTAAAGTCTCGAGACAATGGTTTTGAGAGAGGTATTCTATGAATGCGCTGAGGGTATACGGTGGAGGGGCTGTGTTATTCAGCACTTCATCGAGCGTCAGCCCGCAGGCTGCCCTGTAGGACCTAGCTCGAAGATTATTTAGCATTGTCGGTGCTTCCGAAACGCCTATTGACGGATCATTGGAGCCCGAACTGGACATTGTGTAACAACTTTGTAGGTATAAAAATTGGGCGGCTAGCTGATGCATAAGATCACTTTAGAAGGAGAATGAGTAGTTTGTTCTCTAAGACGGTTATACCTTGAAATAAGAGAGGCGCAGTAGTGGAACTCAATGATCTACTGAGATGGTAGCGAATAATATTTGTGAGTCCTCGACCAATGGCGAGATCAAATCGGACTAGTGGGTGTCAAGTCCGTTTAAGAAAGAGCGGCTTGCAATGAAATGAAGACTTAAAGGATGCCAAGAAGAGGAGAGACGTGGGACACGGGTTGGTAGCGAATGGCGTCATGAAGAAAATCCCAAGTTGCCAAAAGGGATGCAATTACCGTAATTTACGCCGACTCATGTGGGGAGCGTTTCCTAGCCAATCATACTCAATAAGCATCCTATTTCTTTCACTGCGTTTAAAAAGAAGATGAATTAATCGGTTTGTTATTCTTTTCGGCATCTTGTAGTTAGATTGCTGAGAGACAATCAATTGTTAAATTACTGGCTCTGAATCTTTTCTTGCCTGTTGACCTTCATGCTTCACCAGCATTGATTGGCCTTTTAACACTCGTTGACAACTCCTGTTAATCTATCCTCATTTATTCTGCAGTGGAAGTGTCGTTTTTAGTTAACTAAATAGCTGACGTGGAATGTGTGGCAGAAAATCGACCGACCACAGAGGCCTAAACGTTTCACGCAACTAACTTTGGGCGTGATGTTTTAGGGGATGCACGTGATGTGTGCGAGGTGAAGGAAGGGTGGTGTAATCAATGGCAGTAATTGACCACCGTACTTTTGTTCGAGAGGCGCCATCTTTTTCTCACCGGCCATCCTTTAGTGCTTTTCATCACCACTTTTACAGTATGATCAACATTATGTGTGCCAACCTTTACCATTTCTGGTTTAATTGTTCAACAGTTGACTCGAAGGCAACCAACACGAGTTCAAATAACTGAGTTACTCATATTCATGGACGCTCACCCCTGTCCTGAAAACACCCGGAATGTTCACCTCAACGTCTTGAGTCGAGCCTCGATTTCTGCGAAAAATCGACTCCTTACCACATCCGACCGACATCGCACATGATTGGGATATTGCTCAGCTTGGAATATCGTGCAGCCATGCATCAATTTATGTCATTCGGCCATTCATTCCTGCGGTCAGTGTGTTGGCGCATCGTGAACAGTCCCATTTTCGGAATGAACTATACGGAGAGACGCCTTGGGATATGATTGAAAAATTCAGGGGCAGATACCAATATTCCCTAAAGCTCTGTCCTGTCCTTGCGCATAAGTCACATACCAGATGGGCGTCGCACCTATCCTGACGGTGAAGGTTACGGAAAGAACCATTTACATAGTTGTATGGTTTGATTTCTTTTTGATATGCAATGGCCGACACAGACACTACAAAAGAGGGGGTCAATCCCGGTCAAGTCTTGCCTTGGCCTGGTTGATGCTATTTTTGTGAGCCTCGCCTGTGGTTGATTTGATTGGCTCATTCTTCCCTCCCCCCAAAGCCAGAGGGCAACCATTGCCCCAAACGTTCCAGAAGGGTTTCTGTCTTCATTGACAAGACGCAGTCTTAGTCTTTTGCCACCATCATTGCCCGCCATGGATAAAGCCATTTTGGGCCTGACAGCCCAGAAGATACGAGAGCTATTTACAATTTGCGGAATTGAGGACAGCGAGGAGCTCCTTAATCTGGTTATCGCCCACGCTGCCGATCATGGTGAGTTAGCCCCCGCCAACGTCTGAGAGAATGGGATCATTAACGGTCGCTTAGTTTACAGAGCTCGACTCGTGATTGCTGGGGGTGCGACCGACCTATTTCTCAGGTTAAGGAAGCGACCATAGAGACCCCTCCGACTCCACCACATGACACTCGTGGGTCCTATAGACTTATGAAACAGACTGGGAAGCAGGGACCCACAACCTACAGCGATATGGCCAGCACGGAAAAGAAGAAGAAAAAGAAGAGAAAAAAAGCGACGGGTCGGAGTTGATTGATCCACCGCCCGGAGCGTCAGTAGCTGATGGAAATGGAACAGCCGAAGATAAGGCTCCTGAGGAATCAATTTCGCCAGAAGTACAAACAACGGTATGTTATTTTGTCCTCCAGATTGAAGAAAGTCTAACGGATACATGGTTCATGTCTAGTCCGAAGTCGACGACCCCGAATCTTCATGTGTGCCGAATCCCCGTGACAGCTCTTTGCCATTACACCTAGACTCAGCCTTCGAGGTGAAGGTCATAACAACAATATTGATGCAATGTGTAAAATGCACCTCTAATATCGCACAATATGGGCAACGCGACTGCATGGCCCTGGCAACAACTAGGCTCGAGAGGATGCGGGAGCATATCAAAGATGTCTCTCGATTCAATTATGAGCAGGCAATTCACGCCATTCGAAGAGACACTGCTTTAACTACGGGCAGAGCAATACAGACAAGATACAACGAAACTATCTTCTGGCCAATCATTCTCAAGTGCGCGGCGCTGATCGACCCTGCCACGCTGCCACCCGCCAAGGGCCCGGCTGATGGATTCACCATGGCGGAAAAAGCTGCCACAAAGAAATTCATGGAGGACACTGGGTATAGCGTGGGTGCAGAGAACCAGCGACAATACCGCATTTTCTGGAAAAACATATTCGATATGCGTGAAGCTGGCGTTGACAAAATTCTCCTCTACCGTACCAAAGAATTCGACAGTTTCTGCAGGGGTTATTCCAAGACATCGGAAACTCCACTCGTGGATAAAGTTTTGAGATGGGAAAACTAGTATCGATCTCATATCGAACAATTGGAAAGGCGCATTACCAAATTGAAGACAGGAGACTCGAAGCGTCTTAGCTACCTCAGCAATCTTCAAGTGTTAGAACGACTGAAAGTGCCAGAGCCCTCGTGGAATAATGCTTCAAACGAGTGGGCCGTCAACGCTGAAGAAGAAATATTCAGGCAACGCAGCTCAAAGTCTATCTCGACTGATATTCTTGGCACACCACACGGTGATGAATCGGTATACGAAGGTGGGTCAGACAAGTCCGCATTCATCACTCTTCTGCCCAAGGACGACGAGACTCTGTTCGTCTCTTCTATTGTGCCGATATGCGAGGGAGACACCCTGGGTATATTTGCTGGCACCATCCGTTTGTCGGAGGATTTCAATGTCACCCACGGTATCTCTGGTCCCGCTGAGAATTTGTGGCTTGACTATTCTCAGGTCACTGGGGCGCTGAATCAGATGCAGGTATCTGAACCAGGCGGTAACGCAAACGTGTGCCTTCGCTGGGAGGCATTCCATGGTGACAATGCGACGGAGCCGTGCATCTCGTGGCGAGTCTCCGTCAAAGCCACCAAGCACATTATGCCATTTGATCCTATCGTTCGCGCAACTGCTCAACAAGAACAATACCATTTGCATTCGTCACCTGGAAATGCCAAAAGAGGCTTTCTCGAATCTGCTACTAACTAGTGGTCTGCTGTTGGGGCTCCCTTTACTTTTTTCAGGGTATCTTAGATGCGTTCCGTTCCAGACAAAAAAGTACAAGCAAAGAAGTCCAGCCAGTGACAAACATGAAATTACTTCTTATCTTTTGTCCCACATTTCTAATTTCCTTTACAAGAATGCATGTATTTACTTCCATGGTACGATAAATAGGCCTTTTCCAGAACGGTTAGAACCGACTAATCGATGCGTCGCAGTTGATCAGGACCTACGCTCAGCAGCGCAACCTAGGCCGGCGGTATTACGCATCTCAGTAAAGGGTAAAGAACGAATAAGATCGCGCTCCCCGCCAGATATTCTCGCTATTTTTTTTAACACCCTCCCCCTTCCATCTCCATCGTCGCTAGTACCATTGTCACCACCTACTGTAGCCTTAATCCCGTGATACTCTACGCCATATCTGCTTAGTCAAAAAATTTCCTGGTTTCTGTACCTTGTATCGTGAAATACCGGAAGAACGTATTATTTGGCTCTGCCTTTCATACCTGTTTTACCTAGACAGATCATGCTCTCACTGAAGCAAATACGTGCGGATCGATTTGCTGGCGTGATGGATAACCGCTCAAAAGCGTAAATAAAATCCGGACTCAACCAGCTTCCAACTGAGCTGCATTTGTGCTTAACACACGGAAAAATGACCCAGAAAGTCGATAGTTAGCCTACCTAGATCTCACTGTTTGTACTCTTGTGACACTTGTTTCTCTAATGCATACGCCGGTCTTGCGCTTGCTCCTATCCTAAGACACAAACTGTTTATCTAACTGGATAATAAGATGATCTAGATAAAGTAACACTGCTCTCTCTCACTCATTTTACGAGAAACGTACAGTCTCACCAGGCCTCAGCACGCCTGGGAATTTCAGCGACACGGGTTTCTGTAGCTCAATTCGATGCATTAAAAGGCAAAAGTGATGTGCTAGAAGTGATGCCATAGCCTCCAGACAGGCAAGTCATACGTAATACAAAAAAATGCCAGCCACAAGACCATTCACCATCCCTCGATACATGCCAAAACTGCCATATCACCACCTTACTCTGTTGTATACAGCATGCTCAAATTGGTGAACCGTGGGCGCGGAGTTCAGTGATAAGTCTCTCAACACGCTGACGGATTTCGTCACGGATAGTTCGCACAGATTGTAGGCCTTGCCCGGCTGGGTCTTCAAGCTGCCAATCGAGATAGCGCTTTCCTGGGAAGAATGGACAGACGTCCCCACAACCCATGGTAATGACAACATCGCTGGCTTGTACCGCATCGGCAGTTAGGATCTTGGGGTTTTGGTTGCTGAGGTCGATCCCTTCTTCACGCATGGCTTCGAGGACAGCGGGATTGATAGAGTCGGCTGGGGCAGATCCGGCGGATCGTACTTCAATGCTGTCACCTGCAAGATGACTGAGGAAACCGGCCGCCATTTGCGAGCGACCAGCGTTGTGGACGCAGACAAATAAGACACTGGGTTTATTAGACATGATGGACGTGCTTTTTTGAATTGTCGGTGGAGTAGCCCTAGTGAGTAGCTACTTGAATATGAGGGACTGGTGGGTATGAATAGAGGGTGCCGTCAAGTAATATCAAGAACGAAAGAAAAGTGAATAAGGTGATACCTCTGTTTCAGGCCAAGCGGTACGAACAAAGTGGCCGTGGTTGGGTCTTATATAGCGTCTTTGGCGGGTAAAGGGAGAAATAATAACGCACCGATCTAGAACAATCTTTTATGAAGGGTTCTCGTCCGTTAAGTCAATAGCGTTCGACCAGGCCCGATTTGTGAGCCGTCCACGCCGTTCTTACCGAAATCGCATTCAGGATAGAGCCTACATTTCTCTAGTACATACTACTGTCTGCTTATTTGAAAAATAATCTTAGGCAGTCCTCACGAAGAAATTTGCACTGGCAGCTAGTAATAGAGTTATATTACTAGCTATGTAGGGACTGATATTGAAAAGCTTTGCATCGTTAGTTCTATACTCATAGCAGCCTGTATGTCACTCTGACCCTTTCATTGGTCGAGGATTTTCATGGAAGGATTCAGCATTTTCACCATGACAAATCACTTGGCTAGTGCATCCCTATGTCACTCCTCGATGTTTATTGGCCAATTATGAGAGACTTGTCACATGCCCAATATGATTGGCTATCACAGATCACCACTCTAACTGTATCAGGATCAACCGTTCATTCCCTTTTTAAGAGGAAACTCCGGGTTCTTCATATATAAAAGCCTGCTCTGCTCCGTTGATACAGATTTCCGAGCAATTATTGTCTTACTATTGAACTTCCTGAAGTTCACCAATTCAACAGAAGCTATTCTCAGAAACACCTTACGCACATAGTCTGCTGATGCTAGAGATGGCCGCAAGCATTCCTCAGGCAAACATGTCCATGCAGGCTGAACCGCAATCCCACGAAACCGAAACAACAGCTATTAATCAGTCAACAAAACCCACGGCCGAGGATGTTGAAAAACAAAAGACAAACGAATCTGGGCGGACTACGACCAAGCAATCAGCCTTTAAAGGGCTCGGCTGGCTAGATCGTTTTCTAGCCGTATGGATCTTCCTTGCCATGGCCATCGGAATCATCTTGGGGAATTTTGTGGAAAGTACGGGACCGGCCCTCCAGAAGGGAAAGTTCGTTGGGGTGTCTGTTCCAATAGGTATCTACTCCTTTCTTGGTAGTACAATCTTTAACTAACCGCTGCAAGCGATCGGTCTCCTGGTCATGATGTATCCTATTTTGTGTAAAGTGCGATACGAGTCTTTACACCACGTCTTCCGAGAGCGTGGTATTTGGATCCAGATTGCATTTAGTGTCTTTGTTAACTGGATTATTGCGCCTTTTTTGATGGTGAGACCTTTTACGACTTCGTCGCGGCGAAACTTGCTAACATATACTTCCCTAGCTCGCACTGGCATGGGCTTTTCTACCAGACGAACCGGAGCTTCGAGAAGGGTTGATTTTAGTTGGACTGGCCAGATGCATTGCTATGGTACGTTACTTTTTCTCTACGATGTGCCCGAACTAGACTAATTCTTATTGCTAATAGGTTCTTATATGGACTGGTCTCGCTGGTGGCGATAGTGAATACTGCGCTATCCTCGTTGCGGTTAACTCACTACTACAAATGGTGCTCTTTGCACCCTTGGCCATTTTCTTTATCCAGATCATCAGTCATTCTGGTAGTCAAGTAACACTATCTTACTCGGCCGCTGCCACAAGCGTGGCAGTTTTCCTTGGCATCCCTCTTGGTGCTGCAATCATTACTCGCATTGCCCTCCGAAAGTTCACCAGCCCACGTTGGTACGACCAGGTTTTCCTAAAGTGGGCTGGCCCGTGGTCGCTTCTTGGACTCCTCTTCACGATCCTGGTGTTATTTGCATCCCAGGGCCGGCAGGTGGTTCATCAAATTGTATCGGTGGTCCGCGTTGCCGCTCCGCTTATAGTTTATTTTATCATTGTCTTCTTCGTGACCCTTCTTGTGACCTATAAGCTCGGGTTTGGTTACAAGTTAGCTGCCACACAAAGTTTCACCGCCGCCAGCAATAATTTCGAGCTTGCGATTGCTGTGGCTGTCGCGACATTTGGTGCCAACAGCAACCAAGCGCTTGCCTCTACTGTCGGGCCACTGATCGAGGTCCCGGTACTGCTTGGCCTTGTCTATGTCGTCAAATTCATAGCCAAACGAGTTGGCTGGAAGGACTGAAGCGAAAAGGAAAGAAAATCTCCCGCCTGGCAGCTCAATTAAACTTTTGGGATCTCTTTTCTTCATTTGTTATTGGTACCTTCCTTTGCGATTTCAAGGATCCATGGTGAAGAAGTTAGAGCCTGAAGGCATGCATCTACTATGGGTAATACTATTAATAATGAATACTGGCCAATATTGCATGAACAGGGCTTGATATAATGTATGATAATCGGGGAGATATGGACTGATTTATAATTCAAAAGATTCTGGAGACACGCAAGTGGCGTTTCCGTCTGCATTCGTTGCAACTGATAAATCGAAGCTGCTTCGGTGTTGCGCATTAGCCTGGGTTATCAATTCCTAGGTTCTAGGCGCTAGTAGTCTATCACGGGCTTTGATTAATTTAACAGATTATCAGCTGACTGGGATATTTTCGCAGTTACCATTTATGTAGATATCATCCATACGCCTGTTCTCTTAACAATTTGGGGGCGGCTAGGTGACCGGTCCATGACAAATAGGCTGAGCGGCGACATACCGTTAACAAACGGTGACATACCAGAAAGTATCAATCTGCCAATCAGTGGAAACTGTGGGCTGCCTTTCGCCACATCAACGACGTTATGGATGTGGCATCGCTAAATAGACTTAGATAACACGTGTAACTATATAATTATGCTTGATCCCTTCACATTATGTCCTTGAGATGAAGCATTCATATAGTCTCCACTTAATCTTCCCGTTTGTTTCCGGGCCCAGAATCGCAAAGTTCCACGGAATGGATTCGAACGATACCTATCGTTGTGTGCAAGACCGCTACGCTCAAGTTGCGAGGCAGACCGACCCTCATAGCCAAAAAGATCATGAACGGAAAGTTGCAAGCGCGTTTGGGTATGATCTAGAGGATCTGCGTTCTATCCCAGAGAATGCGAATTTAGGTGTCAGCTGTGGGAATCCATTGGCAACGGCAAACATAGCTGTGGTAGGTATTATCCCAGTCGTCTATGAGAGTTGATTTTAATATCTACATATAGGGCGAGACTGTGATTGATTTGGGTAGTGGTGGCGGCATTGACGTTTTGCTAGCGGCAAAAAAGGTTGGAGTGGAAGGAAAGGCCATTGGTATTGATATGACCAAGGTACGCACATCGTTTCCTGCCTATCTGACTTTAATAATTCTTACTCAAAAATGGCAGGAAATGCTGGAACTCTCACGTCGGAACGCAAAGAACGCCGGTGCTGATAACGCATCCTTCATCGAAGCGTTCATCACTTCCATACCGTTACCATCGTCCACCGCTGATTGCATCATCAGTAATTGTGTGGTAAACCTAGTGCCGGAAATCGAAAAGCCCCTAGTCTTTCAGGAAATGTTCCGTCTGCTGAAGCCGGGAGGTAGGGTTGCCATCAGCGACATCCTGGCAAAGCGAGAGCTTCCGATGGAGATCAAGAAGGATCTTTCCTTATATGTTGGCTGTATAGCTGGCGCTAGCCAGGTTGCCGATTATGAAAGATATCTGAAAGAAGCAGGGTTCCAAGGTATCCATACTACATTTCTCGGGTCATCCTCATTCGATTTTGTCCTAATCTGTATATTATAGATGCAGTGATTCTGAATACTGACGCCAATCTCAATATTTACAAGGAAATGTGCAAGAGTGAGGGAGCCAATGGACCGGCCCCTACGGGCTCATGCTGTGATCCGATGAACAGCAGTACCAGCAGGGGAATATACAGTCTGCCGGACGTGGATTTCAACACTTGGACTGGTGAGTGGATCTAAAAAGAAACATAGTATGTAGGCATTACTAACGACTCTCGGCATGGATATCATTAAATAGGCTCTTTCAAGATATTTGCCGTAAAGCCCGATACTCATGACTGAACGTTTCCTAAATTGAATTTTAGCCCTGCAAGCCTTCTGTTTCACGCAGATGGAACTATTCAACATAGCTGATGCAGCGCTAGTAATTAGGTAGCCTTGTATAGGGCGAATTAGTTGTTTTAATGGTTATGCTACATGTTATCAATTTGTGTCGCATCCGATTTATGGACTTTGCTTATACTGAATCGGAGACGAGGGAGAATGACAGGCCTATTATGCCCAGCGCTTCGCGTTACAAGGGATTTATAATATCTATCAGACTAAAATGAAATGTAGTCTCAATATTTAGTTGTGTATTAAAATGAGATCTCCGCGAGAACAGCCAACAGAACCCCAATATCAACCCTACAGTCTTCCGATTGTGTACGGCCCAGTCTGAAACCGCAACGAATCCTGATATCGATCTCCATGGCATCGTATTGTCTCTTGTTGAATTGCAAGATCAGTCTGTAAGCCACAGAACAGAGCATAGATCTATCCTCTCTTGCCGTTTCGTCTGTTAACATAGGCCAGAGTGTCAGAGAATATGCAGGTTGAAATCTATCGTAGATCATTGTTTCAATTCCTATAGTATCTAGAGGATCGTAAAACGACGACAAAGTCGGAAAATACGTCGGTGTATTGACTCTCGCTTCGTTTATACGCGCAGCAAAGCCAGGAAAGGCTTGACTAGGTGCGGAGACTTGGTTTAACTCTGTACCATTTGAGTGGACAAGCAGCGGAGGTTGATTGACAATATTGGTGAACGTATGTGATGCTTCTATACCCAGAGACTATAGTTGCGGTCAGCAAATTCAGTTTTATCTTGCAGTGGAGATCCTGAACATAGATAAGTGTTGAAGGATTGGAAATATTCACTTACCTGCCCTTGAGGTTCTCCATACTCGAAATTGATGAGACAA